GTCTACTGTATGACGGCTATCGATCAAGTGTGATAGAACAGAGTTACGTATTATGTTGATGGTACTCTTTCTTAACCACGAAGGGAGGTGTTCACTAACTCGTTGTTTGGTAGTACACCCAATATAGCTTTCCCCATAAGAGCAGCTGAATTTCTAGATACACATACATGTATCAACTTACACATTTAAAAGAACTTAGATCATTCTAAAGTTAAATGATATTAAATGTACTTGAGGAATAGTAGTTTTTTTTTCTCAGTACTAAGATGACCTCAATATTACAGCATAGATATTCCTGTCAATTATAAATGATATTGTATACAAATATTAAAAAAAATTTTTTTTATGGTTGATCATTGTCAGTTAAAATCTTGAGTTTAACAAACTGTCGGGAAAAAAAGTGTGTTGAAACTAATTCACATTGATTGACTTTAAACTTGGTTTTTTCTTGAGAAATAAAATGATGAATTGGTCTACCACTGACCTTATAGATTCTTGAGGGGGTAATAATTGGCATATGATCATACTTCTGATAACAACAAACATATGTGTTTTAAGTGATCTCTAATGTCGTTCCAGGTACGACAGTGATTTTCACTTTCACCCTGTTCAAACCATGAGAGGATGGATTTTTTAAGGTACCTAAAATGGAAATTATATTAGCGATGGTCTTGACTACTTGAGAACGTGACCACAATGCCCAAAGAACAACTGATTGTGGCCTGTCACACTGATGTTTAATGAGTAATTTTTGATAAGTTAGTTTCATACGTTAAATTCCTTACCACTAGTGAAAGAAGTTTACAAGATAATATGAGGTGTGTCACTTTAAGACCAGTCTTATTCGATTCCTTTCCTTCCATTCTAGGAAGGCAGCGTATCTCTAGCTCCTATTTGTTTAAGGAAGATACATTATTATCGTCACACCCCTGTACAAATACCTTCACGAATAAACTAACAGGTGATGGGTTTATTGCTTTTTAACTTGATCATCTTTCACCTGACCTACATTGTGTGTTAGGATCTAAAAGAATATGTTCCATGTGGTGTTGTTTGATTAGATTATTGTGATATACAGACCTGATTGCCAAGTTAAAGTAACATCCAACGTTAAGGTATAAGCCGATATCATTTATTTTAATACATAATTTACTACCTATATTGTACGTTCAGATAAAAATTTAATACTATATCCACATAAATAAGTAACCAGTAAAGGTAGTTATCTTTGTGAAGAAAAAGAATTACTATTGTAATAGACGCTACTATCAAGGTTGTTTGTAAGTTATGTGTAAGAGAACGTGGCGTCAAAGTTGCAACACTTATCGTACGGAGTAAAGAGTATCAGTGCATCGAAAGTACGGCGTTGATAGAACATTTAGATATCAGTCGAGAAGATAGTCTAGATTGCAGAATGGATTGAAAGTTATTAATGAATGAAACTACTTGAAATTCGGTCTATTTAGCTCAAATTTAGTCGTCATATCACTTCTACGTCCATATAAATATAAATAAGTCAAATAAATTTGTTACTGTACTGGTTACACAGTGGATAAATAACGTGAATTGCTACATTAATTTATTCATTGAGATCATAAATCTATCAGTGTTAGATGAAGCATTAAAAACCTGGAAGTAATGATGGTCTAATATTGAACAGTTCATCATCTTAATAAAAACTCAGCAATCTCCATAAATCTATACTTTTAACTTATTAAATTTACTGATTGTCTGAACTTTATACGTTAGTCAATAATGAGGTAGTATCATTTAAAGCAATAGGTTATGAGTTCAAACTGCCTTATGGGCATCAATTTTTGAATGATATTAAATCAGTTCAATTGATGATTTTCACTCAGGACTATAGTTGTTATAACTTGTGACCGTCACTTAGGGAGTAGTGAATTATAGACCGAACCAATCACGCGTAAAACACGTGTGAGGAGTCTAGAGTCCTGATTGATCCTGTTTTCCGCCTAGCTCAGCCAGTTAAGTCCAGAACACCAATCTCATCCTGTGCAATATGAATCATTTATTTCAAACATACGGGGTTTATGTACCAATCAAACAGACCACAACGTACCAATAAAATAGAAAACAACATTTCTATAAGATCTAGCTCAAAAATGGCTGTGAATGTGAGAGACTGTAATTGACAGACTGGGCATAACTCAAGAATGGTAAATCGTACAATAATAGTTCATAGGTCAAAATGAAGCTCATAATAACAGGGACATGAATGTGTATAGTTTGGTCATTTAATAATCATATGATAAAAATATACTCATAGTACTGGTCTACAAATGGATCCCAAAAGTTACCGCTCATTGTTATTCTTATCTGGACATAACAATGTAGTGAACAAGAACGTCAACGGGGACAATTGATTTGTTAATAAAATCTAACAATCAAATAGTGAATGCTCAATTTGCAAAATGTCCACCCATTGTCTCAAAATGACCCAAACTTCATTGTTCTTGCATTTTCATACAAATTGCATCCTATTCCATTTTATACTGTTCGATCCTCTTGTTTCTCTGCTGCCAGACCTTTTGTTCACGACTAACATGATATACTACTTATGTCAATATAAGTAGCACACACTATAACAATAGTATACCACTAGGATTCTAATATTAATCACAATTCAACTTGGTTAATAATTCCCAGAATTTTCATATTTCTCATTATAAACAGAAATAATTCATATTTGAAGCCATGATATGAATAGAAACTTTTTAAAAAAATTAGAATGTTTCCGTGACCTGATACAAATCTGATTGACATTGGTATACTATAAGATACACACAAAAAAACTACATGATGAACTTTATTTTAATAATAATAATAATAATAACAACAACAGCGAACTAAGTAGTAATGTAAATTGTTTCCAATACTCATTGACTAAGTAAATTTAGTTAGTTGGTTCACTTTTGTATCTCTCTTATCCACTTACCTACTCACTCCCTCTCTCACTCTCTCTTTCAATACTATGTTCCTTAAATGTATTATTAACAAAGATACACAGTATTAAATAATTCAATCTGTATAATAATGTGGTCGATTGAAAAAAAAATGTTATGATCCATGAAACATTGAGTAGGATATGTTGAATCAGGTCATTGACTAACTGATTACAATTGATAAACAATATAAACTTGTTATGATTTTCCAAGTTTTTTGTTTGTTTGTTTGTTTGTTCTTGTTGTTGTTGTTGATGATGATGATGATCCATTTTAATTTTCATCGTAAATCAATCATGTGTAATGTAAAGGATGTGATATATGTTTGTAAGTTTGTAGCGCAATTCCCTTTCCATGTTTAATGATATCTAGGATTTTTCTATTTATTTAAAGAGTGTAGTAAGACTATAGTTTTTACACAAGACTTTATTTCATGATTGAACTTAGGGTTTTACATTCGGCAAGTTGTGATGGGCTCCAGTAGGCTGTTAACCGAAAACATATATAGATATTTTATTGAAATCAGGAGTTGACCCAAGTTAGATAAACATTGAAAATCTAGAAGCTCTAGGCAACCGTTTCTTTCTATTCTAGGACTTCACAGAAGTGCTCATCAACTACTTTGTATTCGAGAATCGAATGCAGGATCTTCGGTCTCGCGCATTAGTAAAGATTACGCCCTCATCTGCAACAATGATACACTAAATGGACAGTAAACTGGTCGAAAATACACAATATCACACTTTTATTTAACGTTGAAAAAGCATGTTTATCTCCACACATAGTGTAGTGAGGGCTTAGTTGCCAAATCATTTTTATTTTTGGGGGGTGTTACTACTCACATATAACATTTCAATATAATTAAGTAATATATAGCTCATAAGTGAATAAATATATCAGACACTTGAAGATAACATTCTAATTTGTATTTGTAAGCCTTGGATAGTGAATCAAACATATTTCTCCACAGATTGATTTTGAATGTATACTCTATTATTTACGTTCTCGTGATACGTGGTCAGCTTATTTACTGAGCACGTAAATTAGGCTTTGCCAGTATCAATACGTTCACCAGAGTTTTATCGTGAAGGAACAATTTTTGATTGATGACTGATGAACTTCACCAGAGCGTAATAAATATCACAATAGCCCAGGTGTATACACTCTCTTTGCCTTCCATTAAACTAAGAGATTAAAACCACTTCATATCTTTCTTTCTACGAACTAATTCTTTCTTCTTGTACTGTATCCTTATACGCAATCTTTCTTTTATATATTACCATCATTGACTTAACCACTCCTATGAATCCGGTGTTCATCTTACTATGCTAATGCGGTACGGCAACTTGGACCGATGCATATATGTGCCTGGTCCCATGTTGTAGCTGAATGACTGACTGAATAAAGATTAAATTATAATTTAACGAGTACAACATTGAGGAGCGAATGAGTAATAATTCGTAAAGTGACAAAGCATGTGTCTAATTTATGTTCTGAAGATTTGCATATATGTTTCGAAGAATGGAAACGGAGATGAGAATATAACTACAAAAGAAACGTATTTTGAAAGCAATAAGGCTGATGTGTGCTTAACCTTATGAAATGTATTTTCATAACTTCAGTTTGCATATTTACTAAACAGATTAATTACATGTTGGATGCCAGCTCAGCGGTCTAGAGGTTAGGCATTCGCACGCGAGACCGACGTTCTTGAGCTCTATTCCTGGGTTTAGAGTCGCTGATGAGCACTGCTGAGGAGTCCTGTACTAGGAGCAAACGGCCATTTTATACTTCCGGGTCCTAATTAGTTATTTAATTAAGGTCACTTCGTGATTAGAACGGCGAGAATTATACAATCCCCATAAATCTGCTTATACATTGATGACAATCCATTATAAGTAAATAGACCAAAATTGGAGCATGAATCAAATTTATCAACCATGTATAAATTCGTTTATAACAAATAATGACTTCCTCATGAGTATTACAGACTGTTATGAAATTTTTGTTTTTATTTGACCTTCCTATATTCAGGGTCATCTGTAGATACCAAGACAATATCTGTAGATTGGTTGTCAATGATTTATATGCTCGCTTATATTCCATTGATATTTCCTTCTAATTGGATACTGAATAGATGGGGCCTGCGTGTAACTCTGCTAGTTGCCTCAGCTTTGAATGCAGTCGGTGGTTGTATTAAATGTATTGCGGGTGCAGTTACGTATGAAACAACGTTTGGACAGTCTAATGAATCTATTCCATTCAGTAATAAACTTGGTTTTCCAATACTTATGGCTGGACAAACTATTTGTGGAATAGCTCAATCCGGTATATTGGGTATACCAGCCCACTTAGCAGCAGTTTGGTTTGGAGTGAATGAAGTTTCAACGGCTACTGCACTTGGTGTATTCGGGAATCAAGTAAGTTTGTATTGTCTACACTGTTTTTTCGCCGTTGATTGATATTAGGCTATATAATTAATCAGTCTCGACCGAAATATGTGGATTCTGAACAAATTAACTTAATGTTATCATCTAATTACAAGTTTCCAATAGAACTCGGTGTTGACTAACAATAATATCCTAGATTCATGTTCTAACCTGATTGGAACTCATCAACCGAACATATCAACATTTCAGTGTTGATGTCCACCCTAAGGCAAAACATAGTACCTATTACTTCAAAAGTCAACACATTATACACTGAACTACCGCTAGCTTATGCAATAGGGATGTATGAAATGCATATTCTGTATCCTACTACTAGTCACAATTCACCATTAACAAATTCATATAGATAAACTATCTTTTTTATGTAAATCACAGTTACAACAAATTGTAAGTATTTAATATCACTTGATTAGAATGTATTAATTATTAGAAGTTGTTTACTCTTAGGTGGTAGATGTGTATTTTACAGTTAAATGAGATAAGATGATAAGTAATTGATTAAAAATTATTACAATTATTTTTCAATATCACATATTAACATTATATTCAAAGATGGATAGTGACTAGTGATGGAGTCCAGGACGTGACCCACTTCGTCCTATTTGGGGCTCGTCAGCTGGATGTACCCGCATCTTAGTGTTTATGTTCACTCTGGAACTAGAACACAGTACCGTTCACTTCAAACGCCATCGCGTTGTCCACTTATCTACTGAGTCTCGATAGCCACTTGCTTGTACAATGGAGTGAAGTTTAAATTCACTCGGCATCATTTGTTTGCTACCATTCATTTTTGCATATAATGCTTGTGAATTAAGGCTATATCGAGGCAATCCACATAGGATATATTTAATATGTGCCTAGTAGTTAAATCCAGGATTCACTATACCAATCTATCCGAGACTTTTTGCTTTGGTGTACCAGCATTTGAATGTTGATGTATAGACCAATAATTGAGCTCAGTATTTGTTGCCCCTAAACGTCTAACGCGTTATCCACTAAATTTATTAAAAAAACAAGAATTTACAAACCCTTTCTAATATTTTCATACATGTTGAATAAGTTGGTAGCTATTTGAACTGACTAGTTGGCTGTTGGGTGTCTGATACTAAACGACCTAGGTTCGAATCCCAGTGTGACTATTAATAGTGGGGTGAGGAGTAAATGTAATTAATGAGTCCCAAACAGAATGTAATGTGAATCCTTTACTCAGGACTGATATTTTGTCTTGTTCGGGCTTCATCAAATGGATGTTTTTGCATCTCATTGTTCCTCTTTACTATGAAATTGTAAAGCAGTGCTTATTGCTTCAAACTTTAATGCTCTGTCTATAGAACTGCGAAGACCAGATCTACAGTAGCTTATACATTGAGTGAAAATTTTGTTCTTTTAAGTTTGTATAAGTTTCTAAACTGCAATCAATCAATCACTTTTATGATAAGTCTTAATCGACCGATTCGTTGCATTCCTCAATTCCTCATCAACAAAATATTAAAAATCTACAAATTTTGATAAGTTCAGTTGATTAGATCACTTGGCTAAAATTCAACACTGTAATGTAATACACAATCTAAGAGATCAAAGTAGAAGGTTTAGCGTTTTTTTTTAATCTGAATTCATTACATTCATCAAATAGGATGTGGATTGTGGTCATTTTTCAGCTCTTTTAAACAAAAGAAATAAATCTTTTCAAATTAATGATGAAATATTTACAACAAGTGATACACTACGCCAATCAAATGATACGTGCATCTGATTGGCTGAGAGAGATGACTTTTATCTCTAAGTGACATGACATGAACAACTGATAGGTTTAGCTTCCTAGGGGATATATATATATGTAGCTCATCTGCAGAAAGAGTGTGTATCTGTATCAAATCTTAGAAACTATGTATCACGGCACAAAAGTTTTGAAAAAACCATTTTTCTGTACCTTACTGATTAAACATCTCTTACAAAAGACTTTTGACAATTGAGATCATGAGTCGATTGAAGTTAGACCCCCATGAAAAACCTGAAAGCACTGGACGGCCGTTCCGTCCTCGGATGGGACTCCTCGATCCACTCCACGATCCCGCCTCACGAAATTCGAACCCAGGACCTATCGGTCTCACGCTCGAGCGCTTAACCTCTAGACTACTGAGCCGGTAGACATCCAACGGTGTTAATATCTAACTTTACCTAATCCATGAAATTGAACGGCACATCCACCATTGTCTTCAGTGAATTACTATCTCACAACAGATACGGTTGAACTATACTGGTCACTGCTACTTACTAGAATTCCAGGAAATACTGTAGTGTCAGTTATTATATTAACCCCATATACCTTATTCTAGCTTTCGGACATCCCATTCTATTCATTCTACTTGAGCCATACTTTGACCTTGTTATTTATTCGCTTATCAATCTAGACTGTTTTTATATGAGCGTATATGTGTGTACCCTTCTTATCCCATTAATCACATGTCTGTAGCTTTATTTTGTCTGACTATAAATATTGAGTAACGCTTGACTAAAAAAGGAGTTGGCTTCCCAGCCATCTTCCCTGCGTGTCATTTTGCTTTGCTCTGTTTCATTCGCTTCATATACGAAATATATGTATACACAGGTCAATTCTCGTTATTTGGCTTATTTAATTCCATTATTGACTAACGCGATTTAAGTCGACGATTATATACGAGAATAAGCGATAGTAAACATCCTTACTATCTAATTGGAGTCAGATTCACGGGCCACTAAAATACCTCTTGAAGCCAGTCACCAATGATCATATGCTGATTAGTATCAGAAGGGGTTTTTATGGACAAATATAATTTCTTAACCTGCTATTGTCAAAGTTTCTATTACTGACAGTAAATTTTGTTAGTTGTACATGTGTGTTTGTGTGTGTAAATATGCGTATTCTGATGTTACTGTATTAACATTTTGCCCATTAATATTTTCATAGAATTTAATACATTACACCTCTATGACATTAAGACCTAAATTTTGATCATTCTATTGACATATGTATATCTTGTATAGATTACTTAACCATATCCATATTGTTACAAGTTTGATATTGCATAGATGGAACCTAGTTAACAGTTACATGTAATTAGTCCTAAATTGAAATGAAACACTTGGAATAAACTCCATAATTAGCCATAAAAATGTCATATGTTCTATAAACATTGTTCATTGTTCATTTGACTAATTGTATAGAATTATTCTTTTCATTATTTATTATTGTTCTAGCTTGGTGTTGCATTTGGTTTTCTAGTACCACCACTTATTTTACCATCGATACCGTATAGTTCAAATGGAACTAATCAAATTGATCCAACAACAGATATGAATGAATTATTCAATAAAATTAAACACTATATGATGATTATGCTGTATTTTAGTGCTGCTTTAAATATTCTTCCATTTATATTTGTATTGTTTGGTAAGTTGTGTATTATATATTCGATGGGTTTTTTGTGGAGATTGTAGTAATTTCAATGGTTAAGATCATGAGTCAGTTGAAGCTAGACCACCATGGAAAACTTGGAAGCACTGGACGGCCGTTTCTTCTTATTGTGAGACTCCTCAGCAGTGCGCAACCACGACCTTGCCCCCTGCAAGATTCAAACCTAGAACCTACTGGTTTCGCGCATATATATTCATTGCATAATTTCAAAGTTTCTGTTATAAACCATTGAGATGATCAAGATCTATTAAAGTACAAATCGTTACCCATCATATTATATGGTTTGAAACATCTTGTAAGGAAATTTGATCAGTAGTTAACAGAATACTGTTTGATGAACAATCTTGGAGTAATCTATGCTCCCGTGATATTTGAACTGACATTACATAATGTTACTGTGAAATGCATTAACATTGAATTATTCCCAAAACGACTGATTTCTTCTAGAATTGTGATTGAAATAATACCACCAGTATTGCTTTAGTTATAAGTTGGATATATACTTTAAGTTATACTTGACTGACAACTGATTGACTTAGTTGGCTGTCAATAAAGGGTTATAAAATACTTACTCTCTCTCTGTCTCTCTCATATCGCTTTGGTTCAACTTGTTTTGAACTGAAAAATGATTGAATAAGCAATTAATTTCCAGTCTTCAATTTTTTTGGTAGATTTTCATTCTTTGAATTGGACTGTCTAACAATGGAGAAAAGTGAGGCAATCAAAATAGATGTCTAGACAATTACAGGTTAAAGGTCAACGCTGACCGATCAAGACGACAGGAGAACTTGTCAATTATACATGGAGAAATTTTAATATCTCACTTCTACTTGAAATTTATGCTGATGATATTGTTCAAAAGAACAATGAAAGCTTTATGATTAAGTCATTCAGCTTACAGAAAAAAAATCTCACCCACAAATCTTTTCTACCGTTTCAGTTTTTTAATAATAATGTAATATGAGTTCAATTCGGAAGCTAGGATGATGTTGATGTTTTATATTGTGAACAATCATAGTTACACATTATTGTTAAACGAACACGTCAGTTTTTTAACTTTTATACAATTGTATAAGATCATGAACTTGATTTAAAATCTTATTAAAAAATCTAGTAGTTGAATTCATGAGTCAATTGAAGTTAGACACCACCATGACAAACCTAGAAAGCACTGGACGGTCATTTTGTCCTGGTATGGGACTCCTCAGTAGTTCATACCCACGACCCCACCTAGTGAGATTCAAACCCCATACCTTTCAGTCTTGCGCGAGAGTACTTTAACTCTAGACTGATAGGTCCGAGGTTTTGATTTGATTTTGATACTCAGAACTATGAAAGGATTCTTTTTTAAGACTTTAAAATCTGGATCATCTAATTGATTTCTATTTTATTTTCAATATGACATTGATAAGTTAGAAAAAAATGTTTGATTGAGAGGTTTGTTGAAATTAATAACAGTTAAAGTTTAGCTTTTTTTATGGATAGATGTTGATTGAAAAGCTATCGAGTACTAGAATGCATAGTGAACATTGTGTTTCGTCATATTATGGATCTTTTTAACATTAGACACTTTTATTTGACTCCAATTAGATCATTTGATGATTGAGTGACAGATTATTAGTGAAATATACATCCCAGCTACCCTTGCTTATAATAATTAACTTAAATCACTTCAGTGAATAACGGAATTACATAAGTCAAATTTGAGAATGGAGTTTGAATCCATATGTTTCACACAATCGTTGTTTCAGACAGACAATCACAAAAACAAAGTAAAGATAGTGAAGAGAATAGATGGGAACGAAACGAATCGGAAAAGGCATGTTAGCCAACTTCATTTGATAAAGTGTTACTCAATATCTACATTCAGATAAAAATAGATTACATACACGTGATGAAGAGGGTAAGCAATTAACAGACGATCATATAAAAACAGTTAGGGTTAAATAATCGAATAAGTGACAGTGTAAAAATATTGAGGACGTTAAATCCCCAGAACTCACTTGGGAGAGAACCCAATTTTGTAATTTTATTTAGAAAATTCAAATTGCTTTATTTTCGCGCCAAAGGCGATCTTGTCACCTTCATGTCGTATTTCCCAGTGGGAAAATATCTTAAATTCTATTGGTCCGTTGCGTCTCTTAGTATGCTATTTGGTAACTCTTCCCAAGTACGGTTTTGCACTGTATATATGCGTTTTGAATTGTGTTTGTTGTTATCGCTCATTTCTGGCTGTTTACAGAATATGCTTCCCCATTCCGAACTTGGACTTCTCCATGTAGTTAGCGCGGCTGGGACGCATCAATAGCTAGCTTACTGTTCTTTGGTCACCGAGTCTTGTTCGCGCTCGCAGATTAAATGAACTCATGATAGCTTCACACCTAGCAAAAAATGTGGCTTGTAACGAATGGAAATATGAGTGGTCTGTCCAGCGGCTAGAATGACCTATATGGGCTTGACATAGTACCAGCCCTTACAACACTTACAATACAGACAGTCCTTAAACCTATAGTATTTAGATTTCGCGTCATGTACTTGAACTGTAGAGTATAATGCTGAAATTTTCAGTACACCATGAAGTCATTTAATTCCATAAGTTTCTGAATAAAATCTAACACAAAAACATACAAATCGTCTAAATTATATGCTATTATCAGATGTTAACTAAAAATACCAATCGATTGGAAACAGTTAAGTCTAACTATTATGGTAGTTACCAATCGACATTATATTCATTCTTGATAAAATATCATCACCTAATGTCATATTCATTGGTGTTACCATTGGACTTTTTAGGTAGAATATTTTTAACTAAGTAGAAACTATCAATCATTGTTTTAATAGTTTATATCATGAACTGATGTTTAGAGACCTTGAATGACATGGCTAAAAATCGTTTGCGATGGCGCAAGTACATCCACTTTTTGTGTTCTCTCAAATTCTAATCTTCTGAATTCTTCATGTCCCTTTTTTTCTCTTTCCAAATTTATCTCACTGGATTATACTCGTTGAATAACATCTTCAAACCCTCATCATTCCGATTACTGCTTATACTTTTACTACTTCTATCACGACAATTGTATCTGTGTGCTAATGTCGTATGCCAACTTGAACTGATGTACGTACGTACAAAGTTCTATGTTGTTACTGACTGACTTATATCATGAACTGTTCTTAGCTAGATAACTACTGAAAACTAGATATCCCTGGAAAATTGTTGAAAATATGCATTCATCTTAGACATATATGACAATTCATCAATTAAAATTGATAGGAATCAAAATAACGTCCTCACCTATTAATCAAGTTTAGACAGTTAATTGGTAATGTCTACATAAAGGTGAATGATATGTAGTTTAATAGAAATAAACGGTAGATAATAATATGATCAGCCAACTTGTTTATGACAAGATGAAAATACACATAAGCTTTGTCGAAACACTAAGACAAAGTCGGCATATTGTAATTTGATCAATAGAATCTAATTATTATTAAATGACTAGACAAACAATAATATTAATCACTACACAGTAATCAATCACAGTGTGAAATACTTCAAGTCAATTGGGTCATGGACACTGTTTGTATATTAACCCAGTATATTTGAACTACATGATTCATATCACAGAGGCTGAGATTGGTGTTCTCTACTCAACAGGACGGACCAATAAAGTCTTTAGACTGATCGTACGAGTTTTATGCGTCATTGATCCGGTTGATAAATCACTGTTCTGTGATTGGCTGTATCATTACACTATATATTGATAGGAGCAACAGGGTCACAAGTTATGACAGACACTCCAATGGTGATATCTCTGAGTGTGTAGCTGAATGATACAGATTTGGGCGTCAAATAGCACAAAACTTAGATCCAGAAGAGAATCCTTCTAAATACTTATAAACACCTAATGAACATATCTTTTATGAGTGACATAATTTAAACATTGGAAACTTATATAATCATACATTTTTATTTAAGTTAATTAATTCATTAAATGATTTAGTTCAATTAAGGAGTTAATTGAATTCTATTGTTTTATAATCGATTCTGATTTCTGGACATGTAGGCAATCCACTTCATGTAATTCACTGAAATATTAATTTGTTATCTTAAAAAACCTATAATATATACATATTTTTTAATAAAGAGTTCAAATTACTGAACCCAATTGTCTCCCACTGAATACAATATTTCAATAGTTGAGATAATGAGTTAATTGAAGCTAGACCATCATGAAAAACCTAGAAGCACCGGACGGCCGTTTCGTCCTATTATGGGGCTCCTCAGCAGTGCGCATCCATGACCTTGCCTCTCAGGATACAAACCCTGGACATATCAGTCTCGTATGCGAGCGCTTAACCTCTAGACCACTGAGCCGATCGGCATCCAGCCGTGTTAATGTCTAACTTCAACCAATCCACGAAATTGAGCGGTACATACAATATTAATAATTAAAAATTCAGTAATCTATATTACGTTCTAAAAGATGGTGAATATGAACTCTTTATTCTTAAACAGTTCTCTCAAGAGAATAAAACAACAATTCTTTGGCATTATATTTGGAATAAACAACGAGACTATAATTTCTGAAAAAACCAATCAGAGATAAGATAACAGGTCTAGGATTTTGGCGCAAAATTCACTCATCCAATTGGATGAATTGAGTTTTCGCATTATAGATGATGTCAGTTCGTGATGAAAACCGCAAATCTAATGCTTAACATCAATCATCAACTGTTAATCATTATTGTTATCCCTCACATTGGTTTATAATCGTCATTTGGTCTTGGTTATTAGGTGTACACTCTGAAGGTCACTTTAGAGTCGCTCAAAGGTTGTCCATAAATGATAGTCTCACCGAATAAACTTTGCTTTGTTATAAATTAATTATTAATCGTTTGAATTCAATTTTATCTTTTATTCAATTCTATTAAGGTTTTCGTGCAAAACCTAAAACTGAACCAAGTTTAGCACAATATAAACGTAGTGGTTCATCGGTTATTCATAAATTACATATAAATGATCAATTATCCATTGATAATAAACCTTCAAATGGAATTCATTCAATAGTCAATAATAATGGTCTACACGAAAAGAACAACAATATTGATAAAGGTAATATATCGTTGTTGTTATATCCTGACGATGAGAATAATGAATGGTAACTTTTAGGATCCATTTATGAATTAATACTGTACATATATATTTATTGTATAAGTGTTAAATAAGTAAACTGTCAATATTTATGTTCCTCTTGTCATAAGCTGTATTTTAACCTATGAACTATTATTATTCGATTTACCATTGTTGAGTTATGCCCAGTTTGTCAATTCCAGTCTCCCGCATTCACAGCCACTTTTGAAATATAATGACTCATGTCGCGGAGGCTGAGATTGGTATTCTGGACTCTAACAGACAGGCATAGCTAGGCAGGAAGAAGGGTCGATAAGAACTCTAGACTGCTAGTACGGGTTTATACGTCATTGGATCGGTCGATAAATCACTGTTCCCGAATAGGCGTTATCATTACGTTATACATTGATAAGGTCAGAAACCCACAAGTTATAACAGTTTTCATGAAATGACCGTAAATCTCTTGTTTTCTTTTTAAATATTTTTCCTAGAATTCTATACAAAACCATTAGACGCTGATCAACAATATCCAGCGCTTAGTCCAAATGAACATTCAATATCATCAACAAAACAGGATACCCTAAATACAAATGATTCAATAATGAATAATTTTATTATCAATATTGATGATAAAAATGATATCAGTAGTATAGATAATTATTCATATCAATCATTACAAAATAATCCTAGAAATGAAACTATTTCAATGGCATTAAAACGTTTGTTTAAAAATACTCCATTCATTTTATTGTTTATTAGTTATGGTAAGTATATTTGAAGTTTATTTTGTTTTTAATATGATCATATTTAGTACATAACATGATTATCGTAAACTTAATCCTTATGTTATGATTCAATCAGGAGGAGGAGGGGGTACCTGAAAAGGAAATTGGATCAGAGGTGATATTAGTGACCTGAGAGCGTGACCGCAATGCCCAAGGTCAACTGCTTGAGGTCGGTCACACACGACCTTTTTATGAGTGATTTTTGTGTTAGCTCCGTACTTGTTGAGACCTTACTGCAGGAGACGGATATCCGTGGGAGGTGTACATTTTTAGAGTCGACCTTTTCTAACCCCGGCCCTCCTTGTGGGAAGGCAGCATCGCTGTCATACTGGTTGTCTGAAGGAAATACCTTACTGTTGTCACACCTCTGTACAGTCAGCAGTACGACTTCGCCTTCAGACCTTAGGTTTGTTGCTTTTAGTCTTACCGCTCTTCAACCGACCTGTCTGACATGGTAGAACCTTGAGGAACGGTTGTTCCAGCCAGTAAGGCTCGGTTGCTTCATCACGATAGGAAAGTCCGACTACCACGTCAAGGTAGCAACAACGGTCGGGTTATGTTATGATTTCTATTTATGGAATGTTTGAAATGGTTTCTCAAATTAAGAATGGTAAAGTTTTAAAGGTGTAGATTGAATAAACAACTATGGGATGATTCAAATCAACAATACTAAGTGAAAATTTCAACTTCATCCCATTACACAAACAAGTGATTATCAGGATTCAGTAGCTAAGTGGATGACGCAATGGTATTTTAAATCAACTGTACTGGGTTTAAGTTTTAGAATGAACATCAATTCTGAGACGTAGTTACATTCAGCTGACGAGTCCCAAATAGGACAGAGTAGCGTGCGTCCTGGATTCCACTGCTAGCCACCATCTATCTTTGCTTAGAATGCTTGTGAATTAAGGCTATATCGAGGCAATCCACATAGGATGCACATATGTCAATAAGAGACTGATCAATTACAGTCCTAAACATCAATGGGAAGATTCAAACCAACAATACCAATTGAATTTAAGAAAATATTTCCTTTCAATTTTTGATTGAGATCATAAAACGATTGATGTTAGAACACCACCTGGAAGCACTGGACGGCCATTTCGTCCTATTGTGTAACTCCTTAGAAGTGCTCGTCCACGATTCTACCATGGGGATTCGAACCCAGGGCCTTCATTCTCGCGCGCGAACGTTTAATTTACCAGACCACTGAGCAGGCATTCAACGGTGTAAATGTCTTACCTCAACCAACCCACGAAATTGCGCAACCACAATAGGACGAAACGGCCGTCAAGGGCTTCTAGATTTTCAATGGTGGTCTAAGATCAATCGTTTTATGATCTCAATCCAGAATTTAATAATCTCCACAACCCCTATACTGATATTTCCTTTCAATTTGTTCTTCATTTAAAACTCTAAACTAATATAAAATTCAAAACAGTTGAGAATAAAATCAGTACTGAATATAAATGGTAGTTAGTCAGTTTAATAATGTTTTAAAATTTATACGTGCTATACAAATAATTACCTATTATGAATTCACTAACTAATTGGATAATATGTTAGATTGAATATCAATTTTGAAAATGGTAGATATATATCTTAGATAGGTACCTCTTGAATAAGAACTAATGCATGTCATGAATGATTTCACTACTAGCCATGTTTTACCTTTTCTATATAAATATATGACTATATAAACAGTTAATTATAAAATTTTATTATTTTTTTTAACACATAGATATTGGTACAAGGGGGCACCAAATACATATGCGCCACACAAATCAAATGAGATTTGTGCAAGGGCTATGATACTACCCGGGTGCCTAAACCGAAGCAGGTGGTCTTATTAGGGGGCCACACCCGGAGCCTTTGACCTGAAGGTCTGATCCACAAGGCAGTGGAGCATCGTAAGGAGATGCAGTCCCATGGAAGCCGGTGACCAACAATTGGTTCATACGCCATTTGTTCCTTCAGGATCCTGGTTTGGAATAAGGGTTTTCCAACTCCCCTAGGTGGACCCTCCGTGTCTACCAACCTGATTAAAGAGCCGGACATTCGCATTTCGTCCTCTGAATTTCGTAAACAACACCCTCGCCACGAGAATGCAACAAGTAGGACTTCCTTTGCAAAGGTTATATACATGTGGCCATGTGAGAGCATTTCGAGAGGGAGGGCGGACTCTCCCCACTCTCAGGCATACCAGGGCATTTGGGGGCACAGTTAATTTAAAAAAATCGTTATGTAAGAATAAGAATTAAATTATGTCAGTATTAAGCAACTAAATAAACATGTTTGTTGCTATTAGTACATATATATAAAATATGCATAATTATGTGTTGTTTTCGTAATTTTAATTGTTCAGGTATACTTACTGGTGTCTACTATGCTGTTGGTACATTATTAAATAGTATTTTACTAGGATATTTCACAGTGAGTCAGTATTTTTTATTCAAATTGGTTTTCCATGGTGGTCTAGCTTCAATTGACTTATGATCTCAACTATTGAAATTACTACAATCTCAAAAAAATCCCTTCCGATATTATTCAACATATGCTCACTAGTAACTAGCTTCAAGACGTATATCCTGGAGTTCTAGTGAGAAGCCGTGACCAATGGAGTTCAACCACGTCTGTTGTGAAATAGTAACTCACTGAAGACAATGGTGGATGTGTTGCTCAATCTCATGGATTAGTTGAAGTTAGACATAAACACCTTATGGAGGCCTACCGACCCAGTCGTCTAGGTCCTACCGATAGGTCCTGGATTCGAATCCTACGAGGCAGGGTTGTGGATTTGCGCTACTAAGGAGTTCATAAGAGGACAAAACGATCGTTCAGTGCTTCAAGGTTTTCCATGGTGGTCTAGCTTCAATTGACTCATGATCTCAAATATTGAAATTACTATAATATTCACAAAACCCCTTCTGATATTATTAAAAATTGATTCACTATTCTTTTTCAAATACATCAAATGTTGGCCAAGAGGTTAAAGGCTTATCATATGAACTAAAGGTCATAAGTTCGATCTCTGATAGAATTGTAAATATGTGTTTATAGGAAGTCTCACATATGAATGAAACAACTATCCAATTACTTTCTGATTTTTATATGTTATTTAACTAAGATTAGTATGTGATATGAACTGTGTAATATTATACTGTATTAACTTATTCTCTTGTATTATTACAAAATATAAACTATTGTCTAGACCTATTAGTCATGGGGATCGTGAATGCGTACTGCTGAGTAGGAGTCCTATACTAGGATGAAACATCCATCCAGGTTTTCCATGGTGGTGTCTAGCTTCAATTGACTCATGAATTCAATTATTAATCTATTACAACCTCCACAAAACTCCTCTCTGTGAACATTCTCTAAACTTTGAATAGTTTGAATCACATGGTATACAAATGTTTATTATTGTATGTAATAAACATAGAGTACATTGTAATGAACAATGATACCATTATTGTACATATAAAAATACCAAACAACCATATGATCTTTTATGAATACTGAAATCAATCTAATTAAATGTAAAACTTTTTGTTTATCTAAATAATTGTTAACTTTTATTTAGAATTAAGATAATCATTTGAATAGATCATTGTTAACATGAAAGCCAGTAATGATGATAGAATGATATGAGATTAAATAATACAAAGTATCAATTATTCAGAATTGTTTAATATATCAACAAGTGTCAACTAATTCGAAGTCTAAATATTTAGTTTCTTATCACCTCAAATTCATTTAACATCCATTTAACATACCTATAATAGTAGGTCACTTAACTAATTTTCACAGATTGAAATCATGAGTCAGTTGCAGCTAGACCACCATTGAAAACCTGGAAGCATTGGACGGCCGTTTCCTCCTAGTATGGGACTCCTCAGCAGTGCGCATCCACGATCCCGTACCACGCGGGGCTCGAACCCAGGACCTACTAGCTTTGCGCGCGAGCACTTAACTAATTGCCTACTTTGTAACGTAAGATCAATAGATTATTTCCAACAAGTTAATTAGTATAGTTGATATTGAATACATGGAATGGTATTTACATGAATGTTAGTAGTTTTTGTACAATCAGTTACAAGAAGGCATTAGTTAAAATAATATTTTATAGAGTAGAATTGATATATACTACGGACAAACTGGAATCAGAATTGATGAACGTTGAAAAATGCCAAAGAGACAAATGTTACCCACAAAAATTTATTGACAAATATAAAAAGCTTAAAAACAAAAAACCAAACCGAAAATAATTATGGTCAATAAAAAAATCAGTATCTCTAAATCTCAACTTCAAAGGTGGTGATGTCGCAAACACAATGATCAGGAGACTGAACATTGTGCTAGCCAGAACTTATTTGGCAGCCAAACTATTAATTCTCTATAAAACAACATGTTCAATAACTCAACCAAAAGTTGATAAGCACCCCTTTCATGATACCGCCAACTGTATTTATAAATTTACGTGTACCTGCTAAAGCAGCTACATTGGCCGAACAGAAAGGAGGACATATCTTAGATTTTTTGAGCGTATTGCAAAAAGCCTCAGAGCAAGAGAAAGAAATACTCTAAACAGTGCAGTTATTAAATATCTCCTTGATACAGGACATCATTTTGCAATTTTTTAAGGTGATTAGTAAACAGCCAAACTCCAGTCTTCTGAAGCTGTTGCTATAAGGCGTCAAAACACGTAACTAAACCCGAGTATTTAAAAAATCTACTCAGATTGCGTAAATATTTTAAAAAAGACTCATAAGGTAAAGTCAATAAAATCAATCATGGAAAATTCAAACATTTACAGTTTTATAGGCAAATTCACCAGTCGATTAAAGCTAGACCACCATAGAAAACTTAGAAGCACTGGACGGCCGTTTCGTCCTATTGTTGGACTCCTCAGCAGTGTGCATCCACGATCTCGCCTCGCAAGATTAGAACTCAATTTGTTTGTGAAGTAGAATAAGTTAGGAGAAATTATTAAAACGCTTCTTAGTATTATCAATATATAGAATTAAAGAAATGATCGAATATCAATTTCATTCTAGTTGAGCTCCCTCTAGTTTTCAAATCTTTCTTGTCAAAGCTATCACGAGTAATATAGAATATTGACACAAAATAAATTCATTGACAATCTCAATTTCTAATATGTTCACCAAATAAAATTGTTCAATTTCATATGTAACTTTTGCTGTAACAGTCCTCATGTATTTTACTCTTCGGGACAGTTAGTGATAACTACGTTTTCTAACTGAACATTTCTGTAGTCAACCGTATCAATCATCAGAGTATTACATATCCTTCAAGATTAAAAAGAAATGCATTTCAACGTGCAAAACTGTTTCAAGTATTTTCAATACTCAAAAAAACAAAACAAATGACATTTGTGATGGTGGAAAAGATTTGTAGCTCAAATAGATGATTTTGTTTTCTGAGCTGTATGGTTTGGTTGCTTTGAAAGGTTGACCACGCAGTTATTTGTGTTTCTTTATGGGTGGTTTTGAGATCTTGATTATTTTCTTCTTTGTTCTCTGTGGCGTTTGCATAATGTCTCGATGGCTGTTGTTAAGATTTCCAAATGTTCTGACGTTAGTGCTTTTGTAGCCTCATCTTTTGATCCTCTATAATGTGTTGGTAATGTGCATCCGTTATCATTAGGTGTAACATTTTTCTTCCACTTTCATCAGCTATTCTCCATCCCAATGAGTAGTTGGTTTGAGTTCTGTATCTTACACTTGTCGGTAGAACGTGCTGACGGTGGCACTCGTGGAGAAAATACAATTTTTCTCGTGTGCAAACCTGTCTTTTGGCGAAGCTCTCACATTTTCGAATAACGAGAAGCGTTGAACATTGAACCTAGATGACATTACTCACTAGTCAGTTACTAATTAATTTAAAATATTTGAGTCCTAAGGGAAACTGGTTACAACTTCAATAGCTGAGTAGTGTCGTTTCAGACTATGATACTAGGTAATGTGGGTTTTCATTCACCAAGCTCCATCAGTTACCTTAAGATTACAGGTACGACCTGGAGACGAGTGTCAACTTGTATCAACTCCACGCTCAGAGTTTCCTGTCAAGTATCAACAACCACATAACCTAGTTAAACGTGAGATGATTTGATCTCATTTGCAGGAAGATATGGACCCATTTTATCAGCTTTGTAGTACCTTTAAGCAAAGCGTTTCTTCAATGTTGAACTTACTCAAACTCCTCACATGATTCGATCATGCGCCGTTCAATATCGTAGTCGAAAATAATATGCAATCAGTTATTCAGCCGATAATTGTTAGTGAACTCATGATGACAAACATTGTTCCCCATACTTCCAAAGTACACTTCAATATGAAGTGAAATCAATTTGAAAACTATTAAAAACTACGACGTAATAAAGCGTTGTTTCGTCTTAGCTCTGATACTCTTTAACAAGAGGATGAAACAGTGATTTCAGACAAGATCACAAACTATGATCAATAAGTCTGTGGAGAAAGTTATTAGTTTTAAACCAATGAACTACAATCCATTTGAAATCTATACGTCCGACTTCAGTTAATCCATTATATATCGACTAATTCTTATCGAATATATGGGCAGTTCTAATGTAATCAGCTACTTAGATCATGGTTATCAATTCAAAAAATTCTATGAAATGCATCTGAAAACTGTGTATTGTAAAAGACACGCTCATGAAGAAAAGTGATCGGGTATTGTTACTTACTTACGCCTATTACTCCCAATGCAGCATAGGCCACCGACAAGCATTCTCCAACCCACTCTGTTCTCTGCCCGCCTTTCTAGTTCTATACAATTGTTGTTCATTCTTCTCATGTCTGTCTCCATTTCTCGGCGTAATGTGTTCTTTGGTCTTTCTCTTCTTTGGCCCTAAGGATTCCAAGTGAAGGCTTTCCTCACTGTGTGTCCTATTCACTTCCATCGCTTCTTCCTGATTTCTTCCTTCTCTGGGATCTGGTTTGTTCTCTCCCACATTAGGTTTTTGCTGATAGTGTCTGGCCAACAAATCCAAAATATTTTGGTAGACAACCATTAACAAACACTTGTATCTTCTGGATGAATGCTTTCGTAGCTCTCCAAGTTTTCGCCCCATACATTAGAACTGCCTTGACATTTGTATTGAAAATCCTGACGTTGGTGTTGGTTGTCATTTGTTGTGAGTTCCAGATGTCCTTCAGCTTTAAATATACTGCTATTGCTTTACCGATCCGCTTTTTCACATCTGCATCAGATCTACCGTGCTCATCAATGATGCTGCCCAAATATGTGAAGTTTTTTACATCCTCCAAAAATTATCATGGAGCTCCTCTGAGGCTACTACCGGTCCCAAGACTGGATAAAGGAGGAGGAGGTTAGGCATGGAGTCAACCACTCCGTCCCATAGATAACTAACTAGCTAAAAATAAACGCTTACCAAATTGGATAATATTAATCGCAACTTATCATAACACTCACTTAAACTATTCAAGATTAACTGAGTGTTTTCTTTTCTATTATATAAAATGTAGATGAAGACTGTTGTCATTGAAATTCACCTTGTATTACACTAACCTTTAATATTTTTGTTTACATTTTATATTATTAATGAAATAAGAATTCTAATCTATCTGGTTGGGCTGGTTTCACAATGATTATTGCCGGTATATTTGGATCAGTAATAACTGGTGTAATTTTAGATAAAACAAAAAAATTTAAGTAAGATAAACAATCATTTATTCTATGTTTATTTTTACTGTTTATTTATATAACAATATTCTGTTCATTTTGAATAGTTATTTAAATCATTCCATTGTTACAATACACTCAGTCAGTCAGCTACAACATAGAACCAGGCACATATTTGCATCGGTCCAACTTGCCATACCTCATTAGCACAGCAAGATGAACACCGAATTCATAGAAGTAGTTACTTCAATGGTGGTTGTATATAAAAGAAAGATTGCAATAAGGATATAGTACAGGAAGAAAGAATTTGTACGTATAAAGATATGGAGCGATTTTAATCCTTTAGTTTAAGGGAAGACAAACAATGGATACACCTACGCTATTGTGATTGGTTCTGAGCCATGTCACGCGAAGTCTCCAACCATTGGTTACGATAGTCAAGCGGATCCTAACCAAGTAGTGTGCATCTACGAACATGGCTAAAACTAGAAGTTAATGACTTCAAGCACTGATGCCACGTCTTGTTTTGACCACCCCTAACTTCCTTCCAGCCATCCCTAACACTAGTCAGCATTGCACGTCGTGGTAAACACTGTTCAGGGATACGCAACAGGTGGCCCAGAAATTTTAGTCGACGAAGATTCACAACTTCATCAACTGATTCACCATCATTCTCTAATACCCTGAGTTCAACCTCACTATTACTTACCCGGTGATCCCAACAAATGTGAGCAATATTTCTAAGACATCTGTGGTCAAATACTAGTAACTTACGAGTATCTTCTACTCATAATGGCCATGCTTCGCAGCCGTATAGAATATCTGGTTGTTTAGTGATTGAATATTTCAAATTTTTATTTATATTTCTTAACTACAACCCATATATTTCGTTCTCTTTTTTTCTTCCAATCACTGATCATGTTTTCATTTCGATTCTGTTTACTATTCAGTTTGATAACTATGCCAATTTTAGATTAATAAACATTTATTTATTTCAATAGTTGAGATCATGAGTCAATTGAAGCTAGACAACTATGGAAAAGCTGGAAGCACTGGACAGCCAATTTGTCCTATTGACAGCTAAGTGGTCTAGTGGTTAAGCGCTCACGCACGAGACGGATAGGTCCTGGGTTCGAATCCTGAGAGGTGGGTCGAGGATGGATACTACCACAGAGGAGTCTCATAATAGGACAAAATTGTCGTCCAGTACTTCCAGGTTTTCCATGGTGGTCTAGCTTCAATTCAATCATGATCTCAACTATTGAAATTTATTTATTTATTCATTTATTTGTTTGTTTCTTTAACGTGTTATTACTGAATTATGGTTAACTAACTAACTAACTAACTAACTAACTGAATAACCTTCAACTTCACTGAACTTTCTGCATAGAAACATAAAACAACTAGTTACTTATCGTTGTTAAATCTTATGCGAATCTTATTCATAATCTGGTTAAGTGAAAAGAAAAGAAAGCTATTTAGTGTATTTTACTTAGATCAATGTTAAACTTGTCTAGATCGAGATAAAACATTAACCTGTGTTTTTTTTAAATGTTATGTCAGTTGACAGATCTATAGTAGTTATGATTGAACGTGATTTGGGTAGTATAAATGTAATTTCTTTTATATCATTGAGTTATGTAATGTATACAAAACAGCAATGTATCATACGATGGAAAGTGTTAGCTGTTTGAAAACAGTTGATAGAAAAACCTAGAACAGGGTTTCTAGTTGTTTAACATACATCAAATATGTGTCGCCATAGTCTTGAGATAACTAACGGTCTTTGTTGCATCTAAATTGTTTGATAATTTGTCTGGTGTCCACCGATCTTCTAAAAGTAGTGTACTTGTTATCGAGTCATTTAGACTAGTATTCAGATTGCAACTTTATCGACAAAATTTAATCAACTCTGGATATTAGACAAACATAACGTAGATCATTACTCATTGACCAAATAGTGTAAATATTTCAGTGCTACTGGATTCCAGCGATAGTTTTAACAGCTCATCGATAACGTAACAAACTGTGAAGTAAAGTGATTTGATCTATAACGTTTATTAGAAAGAAGATATTTCATTATCAGGTACAATGTATAATTGGTATTGTTGATTAACTGGATTCATTTTAAAGTATCTCAGATAATCCTAAAGAACTAGTGACGTTTTTAAAAACAATTGAGACATCAAAGTATGAATTATAAGTTTTAATGACACAATGCACATAGTTGAAGTAAGATGAAGTTTACTACTTGCCTATGGTAGTGTAATCTGTATCTGTATGATCAGACGTACAATCGGTTTCTTGTAATTGACTTCATATAGATATAAGTTTTCATACATTTATCTGCTTCGATTTGGGCACCCAGGCAGTATCATAGCCCTTACACATATCGAATGAGATTTGTGTAGCGCATATGTATTTGGTGCCTCATTGTATCAATATCTATGTGTTAAAATAAATAAATGAACATTTATCTTATGTTCAATATTACAACAACTATGATATTACATATTTCTATAAAATGTAATATTTATAATGCAATTAAATGTCTCTTCATTATTATTAGTATACGATTGTAGAGATTATTAAGTTTTCACTGAGATCATAAAGCGATTGATGTTAGATCACCATTGAAAAACTGAAAGCACTGGACGGTCGTTTCAATCTCAGTCAACAACCTAATGACCTCCACAACCCTATACTGATAATTACTATATGCTTACTAGTGACAAGTTTAACATTGATCTAAGTAAAATACACTAAATAGCTTTCTTTTCTTTTCACTTAACCAGATTATGAATAAGATTCGCATAAGATTTAACAACGATAAGTAACTAGTTGTTTTATGTTTCTATGCAGAAAGTTCAGTGAAGTTGAAGGTTATTCAGTTAGTTAGTTAGTTAGTTAGTTAGTTAGTTAGTTAGTTAGTTAGTTAGTTAGTTAGTTAGTTAGTTAGTTAGTTAGTTAGTTAGTTAGTTAGTTAGTTAGTTAGTTAGTTAGTTAGTTAGTTAGTTAGTTAGTTAGTTAGTTAGTTAGTTAGTTAGTTAGTTAGTTAGTTAGTTAGTTAGTTAGTTAGTTAGTTAGTTAGTTAGTTAGTTAGTTAGTTAGTTAGTTAGTTAGTTAGTTAGTTAGTTAGTTAGTTAGTTAGTTAGTTAGTTAGTTAGTTAGTTAGTTAGTTAGTTAGTTAGTTAGTTAGTTAGTTAGTTAGTTAGTTAGTTAGTTAGTTAGTTAGTTAGTTAGTTAGTTAGTTAGTTAGTTAGTTAGTTAGTTAGTTAGTTAGTTAGTTAGTTAGTTAGTTAGTTAGTTAGTTAGTTAGTTAGTTAGTTAGTTAGTTAGTTAGTTAGTTAGTTAGTTAGTTAGTTAGTTAGTTAGTTAGTTAGTTAGTTAGTTAGTTAGTTAGTTAGTTAGTTAGTTAGTTAGTTAGTTAGTTAGTTAGTTAGTTAGTTAGTTAGTTAGTTAGTTAGTTAGTTAGTTAGTTAGTTAGTTAGTTAGTTAGTTAGTTAGTTAGTTAGTTAGTTAGTTAGTTAGTTAGTTAGTTAGTTAGTTAGTTAGTTAGTTAGTTAGTTAGTTAGTTAGTTAGTTAGTTAGTTAGTTAGTTAGTTAGTTAGTTAGTTAGTTAGTTAGTTAGTTAGTTAGTTAGTTAGTTAGTTAGTTAGTTAGTTAGTTAGTTAGTTAGTTAGTTAGTTAGTTAGTTAGTTAGTTAGTTAGTTAGTTAGTTAGTTAGTTAGTTAGTTAGTTAGTTAGTTAGTTAGTTAGTTAGTTAGTTAGTTAGTTAGTTAGTTAGTTAGTTAGTTAGTTAGTTAGTTAGTTAGTTAGTTAGTTAGTTAGTTAGTTAGTTAGTTAGTTAGTTAGTTAGTTAGTTAGTTAGTTAGTTAGTTAGTTAGTTAGTTAGTTAGTTAGTTAGTTAGTTAGTTAGTTAGTTAGTTAGTTAGTTAGTTAGTTAGTTAGTTAGTTAGTTAGTTAGTTAGTTAGTTAGTTAGTTAGTTAGTTAGTTAGTTAGTTAGTTAGTTAGTTAGTTAGTTAGTTAGTTAGTTAGTTAGTTAGTTAGTTAGTTAGTTAGTTAGTTAGTTAGTTAGTTAGTTAGTTAGTTAGTTAGTTAGTTAGTTAGTTAGTTAGTTAGTTAGTTAGTTAGTTAGTTAGTTAGTTAGTTAGTTAGTTAGTTAGTTAGTTAGTTAGTTAGTTAGTTAGTTAGTTAGTTAGTTAGTTAGTTAGTTAGTTAGTTAGTTAGTTAGTTAGTTAGTTAACCATAATTCAGTAATAACACGTTAAAGAAACAAACAAATAAATGAATAAATAAGTTAATTTTAATAGTTGGGATCATGATTGAATTGAAGCTAGATCACCATGGAAAACCTGGAAGTACTGGACGACAATTTTGTCCTATTATGAGACTCCTCTGTGGTAGTATCCATCCTCGACCCACCTCTCAGGATTCGAACCCAGGACCTATCCGTCTCGTGCGTGAGCGCTTAACCAATAGACCACTTAGCTGTCAATAGGACAAATTGGCTGTCCAGTGCTTCCAGCTTTTCCATAGTGGTCTAGCTTCAACTGAATCATAATGTCAACTATTAAAACTTACTAAACTATTCACACACACACCCCTCGTCACTGATATTTTGTTATGTTGTTTTCTTTTGCTAGATGAAATCATTCTATTTCTTGAAAAAAAATGTTTTTTTTTGGTTTTTAGTTTTGATTGATTGTAGAAAAACATTTTTTTGTTTGTTTAAAGTAAATATGTTCAAGTATATTTTGTATCTAAGATGTAATCACATTCATTTATGCAATATATGATCAATTAACACTAAATGAGAGAATTATGAACAATGAGAAGAAGTAATGAAAGGTCTTCTTTGAAAGCTAATGGATGTGAAAACATTAACGTATTAACTATATGTAAGAAAAATAATAAAACAACATATATCTTAAGTGTCATAATAAGTAATGATATAGATAGAGATAAATGTATGAGATAATATAATGAAAAAAGTCATAGATCATCTAATATGGGAGAGTTAATCATCAGAGGTAAACTATGATAAGAAAGTCAATTAATGACAATCATAAGTGATCTAAAAAACAAGTGTACTTTATTCATTATGAAATAGACTAATTTCCTAAAGATTAGAGTATCATATTTGTTATATCTTGATGAGAATAATGAATGATAACTGTTGCAGTCTATTTCTGGACTAATACTGTACATATATATTTATTGTATAAGTGTTAAATAACTAAACGGTTAATATTCATGTTCCTCTTATCATAAGCTTTATTTTAACCTATGAACTATATTATTATACGATTAACCATTCTTGAGTTATGCCCAGTCTGTCAATTCCAGTCTCCCACATTCACAGCCACTTTTGACATATAATGATTCATATCGCGGAGGCTGAGATTAGTATTCTGGACTCTAACAGACAGGCATAGCTAGGCAGGAAGAAGAATCGATAAGGACTCTAGACTGCTAGTACGGGTTTATACGTCATTGGATCGGTCGATAAATCACTGTTCCCGAATAGGCGTTATCATTACGTTATACATTGATAAGGTCAGAAAACCACAAGTTATAACAGTTTTCATGAAATGACTGTAAATCTCTTTTACAAATCTTGTTTCCTAATTTATGTTGTGATATGGTCTGTTTGGTTTGTATATTAACCCAATATGTTTAAAATATAATGATTCATATCGTGGAGGCTTAGATTGGTATTCTGTACTCAACAGGCAGGCAGGGCTAGGGACGGAAAAGGATCGATAAGGACTATAAACTGCTCATATGGGTTTTATGTGTAATTAGTTCAGCCGATAATTCACTGTTCCCGAATTGGCGTTATCATTACGTCATATATTATTAGGACAGAGGGTCCAAGTTATAACATATATATATATATATATATATATATATATATATATATATATATATATATATGAATAAGTATTTGTACATTTTAATTCGCTAATCTAATACACATTTTTGAATACTCTTGTGTTCTCACTCAAGTAGTCACTACGAAGGACTGTGAGGGGGGGAGGGTTAATACATAGCACACCGTGTATCAGTAACACATTTATGACAATGTCCATCACAACATACTAAGTTGTTATCTATCCAATAATTATTAATTATCATTTTGATAAATTCAAAGAAATTAATTAAATAATTCATTCATGAGAAATCTATCTTACTTCTAAGATAATTGACAATTAACTACACTTTTGTACTTGCTCAGTTGTTCAATGATTTGATCTTGATGAAAAGAGAATAATATGGTATACACATAATCAGTTATTGATCTAAACGAATTATTGATTTTATATTATTTTGGTTTCATTTAGACTAATCACATGCATTATATATATACTAAGTTTATTGTTTATGGGAATCTTCACTGGAATATTATATTTTCGTTCAATGCCAATAGTCTTTATCATTATGTTCTGTTTAGGGTAAGTTATCATTTCTTATATATATATATATATATATATATATATATATATATATATATATATATGTATATGCAGTATGGTCTTAACTAATGATACAATCAATGTTTAAATGAATTCAATTGTGCTTAAATGAAGCTGATACAGTGTAAGAAAGATTTATGACAGTTGACTAAAGAAGAGAATAAGAAGATAGATTAAAATATTATTCAGTTGAATAGTACTTCATTTGTTTTAAGCCTCTAAATGCCCTAGTATGGTTGAGAGTGGAATGAGACAACTCTCTCTCACACATATGGCTACATCTATACAACCACTGACAAGGAAGTGCTAATCACTGCCTTCTCTGATCGACGGTGTTTTTTTTACAAAATTGAGAGGACGAAAAACGGATATCTGGTGCTTTAATCGGGTTGGTGGATATGTAGAGTCTACCTAGGGGAGTTGGAAAACCCTGATTACAAACCAATGTTGCAGATTGGCTCTAGGATCCTGAAGGATGAAATGGCGTTTGAACCTATTATTGGTCACCGGTAACCATGGAACTGAATCAGGTGACATTGCTCCACTGCCTTATGAATTAGACTTTTGGGTCACAGGCTCAGGGTGTGGCCTCATAAGAAAACCACCTGCACAAACGATGATTGTTGCAGAATAATATGAATTCATTTTATTTCGTTAGGTTCTTACCAGCTGACTAAGATGAATATATATGTATCATGATGAGATCGTGGCCTTATTAATTGCATAGCGAACACAAACACGAATGGGGTAATCGAAATTACAGAGTATCTCACTGAGATCTAAGAACTGCATAGTAAATACATAATTTGCAAAATCTCAATCAATTGTCTCAAACTTGACTATTCCTTTACAAATATCAGTCCATCGTCTTAGATTTCATTGTTTCTGCATTTTCATATCAATTGCTTTCTGTTCCATTTTCTCGCCTCCATGATCTTTTGAAATATATTCTGTTCCTGACTATCGTTATATACTACTTATGTGGATATAAGTAGTTCACACCACAACTGCACCAATCTCCGTTATGTTCTCTTAAATTTATCATTATCAAACTTGTTTAATTAGTTTATTGGTTCGACAATGAAAACGAATTCTACCCTTCAAAATATTTCACTTCTTTTGGGTGTATAAATATCGAAGGTTAATATCTTAATCTTTCATTGCTAAGAACTAGTCATTTAGTTAAAGCCAATACATTTTCAGCTACCTCTAAAGTATTAAATTAAAGATATGGAGTGTAAATTAAATTTACTAGAGAGACAAAACTTTACATACCATTCACAGTAGTAGTAACTCTGTGTTCTACTTTAGAATAAACTAGAAAATGAATTATTTGAAACAGTTAATTGTTTTCTCATCCTAACAGATCCATATATGCTCCAGATACGATACCTACTCTACTTAAACCTAACTAATTGAGTTCTTATGCGTTATGTAGGATATTTCAATAAATATCTCATACTGAGATGGTGGAGAAGATTTGTAGCTCAGGTGGATGATTTTGGTGGAGTTTTGTTCTCTGAGCTGGATGGTTTGGTCGTGGAGCTTTCATCGTTCTTCTGATATCGTTCAGAAGATATCAGAAGAACGATGAAAGCTCCACGACCAAACCATCCAGCTCAGAGAACAAAACTCCACCAAAATATCTCATATTATTTGTAGAAAAAATAAACATGTATAATACATATCATATTCGCTGATAATGTTTATATTTACAGACAGTATTTCACTTGAACTAGATATTTCGAATCTATTTGGTTAAATTGTATAAATTCATGAATCAATTGAAGCTAGGTCACCATGGAAAACCTGAAAGCACTGAACGGTTGTTTTGTCCTAGAATGGGATTGGTTGAAGTTAGACATTCATACCGTTGAATGCCGACTTAATGGTTTTGAGGTTAGATGTTCTTACACGAAACCGAAGTTCCTGTATTTGAGTCCCATGTGCGGAATCGTGGACGCAAACGCCAGAGGAATCCCATACTAGGATGAAACGACCGTTCAGTGCTTCAAGATATTCAGTGATGGTCTAACTTAGATCGACTCGTGAATTGAACTTCAAAAATTGGCTTTTTATTATAAACTATCAAGAACCAAATATTGACGAATATTTCAATAGAAGTTCCTGAGTAATTCAATACAATTGTTTCAGTAATAAGCATATAAAAAGTAGTTGAATCTACTAACGCCTAGTTAACATAATTCGCTAAACGCCTAGTACTGTTCACATCTAACATTGAACCTTCAAGAAAATACAATGAAATATAGGCAGTTACACGTTACAGTATGAATACCGTTCGATTATCTAAATCTTTAACTGATATATTCAATAATTGTTCTCTTTGATTGAAGAAACAAAAGAAAAAACATCTAAGTGAATTGAAATAGAACAAACAAGATCGAATCATAAAACAGTATGAAAGTTGATCCCATTTTATCGACCAAATTATATGATAATGAGACCGGAGATATCAATTGTATTTCCTACTTTTAATGAAGTGTGTGTTCGTGTGTGTGTGTGTGATTGAAGCCCAATTATTAAAAATATCTTTAGACCTAGCTATAATATAAGTTAAGACTCGCCACGCTAACAGTCTTGAACAAACAATGTTACCCTTTTTGTAATCCTATATCTGATTCCAATTAGATCGTATGAATGCTATTTAAGTGTACATGTTGCCTATCCTTGTATATAATCATCGATTTAACTCTCGTTAGTGTATAACAGAATTTTGAATACATATATTTTGTACACTCAATGATCTGAACAGGCAATCAGGGGACAAAGCGAAGAGAAATGACGCGATTTTATGAGCGATTCAAAATATCGTGAAAACAGAGTATTTTATCGTTTATGGGTATGATAGCGGAATAAGTCATGAAGATAAGTAGAGTATATTATAACAAAAATTGGTCTGTGATGCTGACAGAATATAAAGATCAAGAATAGTGGAATATGAACATGTTGTAATAAGCCGTAGTAGAGTAAATAGCGTCGATTAGCGATGAGTGGATTGGAATTTACACACATGGAGTTTCTGTTCGTAGGATAAGATGTAAACACACATACGCTCATATAAAAACAGTCAAGGTTGATAAGTGAATAATTAACAAGGTCAAATCCATGACTCAAGAAGAATGGATAAAATGACCTGTTCAGAAGCCAGAATAAGTTATACGGGCTTAACATAGTAACTGACACTACAACCTGCACGATACTGAATAATAATCTTTACAATCAGATAGGGAGTAACAGTTCTTTCAATATTACAATTAGACGTTAATTCCAACTAGCTCCGACTAGCAAGAAACTTAAGTTTAGGCTTTCTTGCTGATTACTTCAAATCATCACTAATGAGTTTCATCATTTCTTACTAAGAAATATATTGATAAATGATGGTAAATATTATCGTATCCTAGAAAACTGTTATCAAAAAAGAAAACATATCCAGGAGCAAGTGTACATGTACAACGCGTTATTTGTGACTGGATTTACACTACTGTAATGAATTTTGCTACTTACATCCCATGTTCTCACATTAAAGTGTTGAGTTTGTAGTCGCTAAATAAATGTCGACTCAGTGGTCTAGTGGTTAGGCGCTCGCGCGCGACACTGTTGGGTCTTGGGTTTGAATCTCGCAAGGCGAGATCATCGATGAGCACTGCTGAGGAGTCCCACAATAGTACGAAACGGCCGTCCAGTGCTTCCAGGTTTCCCATGGTGTTCTAGCTTCAATTGACTCATGACCATTGAAATTACTATCATATCCACAAAAACGCTATTTGGTTGATATATAAACCCAGTATATCTGAAATAAATGATTCGCATAGTGGAAACTGTATTAGTCGTTCTGGACTCAACTAGACGGGCTAGTGGAGTAAGGGATCATTAGGACACTAGGCTGCTCATACTGGTCGAACGTCATTGGTTCAGTACAGTACAACAGTGAATCATTCGTATTTTGATTGGCGAATAAATTACATGATAACTAGCGGCCATAAAGTTACAATATCTTACTTGAGCAAAGCGATTATCCAGTAGTATATACATTTTAATCATACTATCTTAATTTTTGTCTATTCTATAAACTTATTTGTTTATTCGTTTATCTGTGATAATTTCACTTTGTTTTTTAATAAATTTCTCTTACTACTTATTTCAGTTTCTTTATGACCGGTTATTTAAGTATTGGTTTTGAATTAGCCGCTGAATTAACTTATCCAGAAAGTGAAGGTTTATCTTCTGGTCTGTTGAATACATCAGCACAGGTGAATGTTATTATATAAATATATTGATATATGAAGAATATAAATATATATATAATTCGGTGAATAATGAACGATATACTGTAAGGTATGCTACTTATGTCGATATAAGTAGTATATAACATCAGTCAGAAGTGGAATGCTTGGGAGCAAAAGATTGGGAAGATTGAATCATAGAGAACGGGAACATAAAGACTAATTGTTGTGACAATAATGGAACGATAATGTTTAGGACAATTGATGGAGGTTTGAAAAAGAAGAATTGAACGTATGGTTTTTACATTTTACCATAGAACTTCATAATTTAGTATTAAAATACAATTGGTTGTCCCTACTTGTGTTTCCTTTCATAACAATAGCAATTATATATATATATATATATATATATATATATATATATATATATATATATATATATATATATATATATATGCTAATCCCACTTGTTCCAGTTCATCTCAACGCGACCACAGAAAGAAATCGTCAGTTTATGAAAGTAAGTGATCTGACATTGATAGGAAAAGAATCAACAATAACAATTGATCATATTTAAGATCAGCAGAATAAATTGTTTAGTTTGTGGAGAAATTTGAATAGTTCACTTCTATCTGAAGTTTTTTTCTGATGATGATGATGATGTTGTTCTCCAGAAAGACAATAAAAGTTTCATAATTAAACTATTGAGCTCAGGCCCCCAAATGCCCTGGTATGGCCGAGAGTGAGGAGAGTCCGCTCTCCCTATCGAAATGCTCTCACAAGACCACGCGTATACAGCCTGTGCCAGGGAAGTTTTACTCACTGCCTTCTCATGGCGGGGGTGTTGTTTACCAAAATGAGAGGACGAAAAGCGAATGGCCGGCGCTTTAACCGGATCCCAAACCAATGGTGCACATGGGCTCCAGTATCCTGAGGGAACAAATGGCGTATGAACCAATCGTTGGTCACCGGCTACCATGAGACTGCATCTCCTTACGATGCTCCACTGCCTTGTGGGTTAGACCTTTAGGTCAAAGGTTCGGGTTGTGGCCCTCTAAAGAAACCACCAGCTTCGGTCTGGTCACCCGGGCAATATCACAGCCCACACACACACAAATATGGTGTGGCGCATATATATTTGGTGCCCTCTTGTACCAATATTTATGTGTTGAGATAAATAATAATAATAAATTTAGCTCAGAGGATGAAATTTCAAAAATAAAAAGATCCTCAGTAGTTGTAAATATTCTTAATCATCTCAAATATAATTTAAAAGAAATGAGCTCCCAAGCTCGAGTTATGTCACACAAGATTTACAACTGAAGAATACGTTTATCCGTATACAGAATAAGTCGGTGCGACTGTTACTGACCTCATAGACTGACATTCTGTACAGATCGTCGTTAACAATAACTAAATATAGGTCAGTCGTTTCATAATCTCCTTAAGTGATAACGATTTCTCTATATACTCGAAAGACTGAATTCTAAGAAAACATAATCATTTAAAGATATATTCTCTTGTAACTAAAATCTAGTTATCTCTATAGGTCAATGACATTTCATTATATGTCATATTTTACCATGATAGTGAAATATATCAATGTATTTTTTAATATTTTTTGACAGTGTAAATAGTTGGTAAGTGGTTTGATGCATGAAGTGTTCAACAACTGAATAGCAAGTTCGAATACTGTCTACTTTCTTACTTGTATAAAAGTTTCTTGTAGCTATCTATATTGTTCACAATACATACATATGAAATCAAATACATTTTACTTAGTAGAAAATACATAATAAGATTTCGATAAATATCCCATGACTAACAAAATTGCCTGTTATTGTAAATATAGTCTAAATATATGCCAGAGTTTATTACATAATCATCCTTATATATATTCTGTTTGTGTATTGTTTTCTTTCTCTCATAAACATAACGTCAGATATTTGGCCTTATACTGATTCATGTTGCAACACCATTGAGAACAAATTATGGAGTTTTGCCTGGAAATTTATTCCTTACAGGATTAACACTAATTGGAACAATAATGACAGGTATGCTCGTATAGGCGAATATGTAAAAATGCATTAGTATTAGAACAGAACGCCTAGGGAACAGTTATTTCATGTGTCGCTTAATTTCATGGATTACTTGATGTTAGACATTGACACCATTGGATGCCGGCTCAGTGGTCTACAGGTTAATAGTTTATGCGCGAGACTGATTGATATAGCGTCCGAATCTTACGAGGCGGGATCGTGGATGAGTACTGCTGAGAAGTCCCACAATAGGACGAAACGGCCGTCCAGTGCTTTCACGTTTTCTATGGTGTTCTAGCTTCATTTGACTCAAGATCCCAACTATCTGAGTTATTTCATTGTTAATCAGTTCTGTTAACAAACAAATATCAATTAATCGGTCACAATCAATATAGTAAGTGTGTACATGCAAACATAGACTACGGTTATAACTTAATATTGTTAACACAATACAATGGAATTATCGGAATGAATAATGAAAAGAATTACAATAACAAAAAAATCATTAATGGATAATAATCAAAATGGGAAAATAAATTTATAGCATAAATAATATGTAAAATTGTCAAAACTCAACATCTAAATGATGAAGGCTGAACACATTAACGGTGATCAAAGATTTATCACAATTACAGTACTATTCCCAACTAGACAGTCTCTACATTACCAATATGGCCTATACTAATAGTTGGTAACTCCATGGATTGATCATATAATTGGCGGTGTCGGGAATTTGATACCGATACACGTGCTACACCCTAACCCCCTATCTGACTACTTCAGCAAGAAACAATAGTGGACGAGAAAGTATATTGGGCTACCGAATAAAATACACAATGAAATGGACTTGCCCTTTAGGTCACTTTTGATCGCCATCGATTGAACATCCTATTTGCCTACTTCTGATAGGCTTACCATATTACCTTTCCCTCCTGAAAAATAAGTCCTGCTCCTTGAATTTAACTGAAGGCATTGAAGGGAACGTTGTCTTTCTGATGATTTTCCTGGAGTCTGGCCATCACTTCTGCTCTGATCGTGTCGTTTTAGACTGACTGAATCAATAAAACGATCTAATGCCCAGTTCGAGCTAAAGGGTTACTTATCCGAATTTAATCGTCTATCGCGGATGTGGTTCACAAGTCGTGTCAGACATTTACCTCGAACATCAGTTTTGAACATCAGGTCACCGACTCCTCTTACGGTGGCACTCGCTACCCCCTCAAGCCTTCATATCAAGTGCCCATCACTTTTTTTCAACCTACTCCTTTCACCAGTCAATAATGCGCTACAAATATAGCGATGCCTAGCGATACAATATACTCATTATGTATTCTGTTTAGTTAATCTGTTGAAATAGAAATAATATGGGATCGTAAATTTGAAACTGATACAGTAGGGTATTTCGATTAAAAGAAATCTTTCAAATTACATAAGCTGATATTTGTGAAGACCAATTACGAATTTAGAAATGTATACAGTATCTAAGGGGAGAGAGAAAGCAATGATTTACGATCTTCAATTTATATCTAAATTAGGTAGAGCAGTAAAACAATTATTACATATAATTTTTTTCCATCATTATTTGGATGTGATATTTTGTCCTTAATCTAAACACTGTAAGCTAAGGGATGGTCAACAGGAGGACTGTGGACCCTATGATTCATGCTAGTTGACACCTGTCAGCAAAAAATACGCGTGATCCCTAAGGAACCGATACTTCTTATGAGATTCTAGCTTTCGACACCCATTTTCATAGTCCGTGATATTACCAAAGAACTGTTTAGGCCTTAAATAGCCTCCTGCAGTACTTCAATAAATTTCTGTCGATTAATCACTAAATAGTGAAAAATTTATTGTATGTCTAACCTTTATTGCTGGTCATTTTTCTTTAGAATCGATGTGGCATTAAGAAATAAACCAACGGAATTTTACTATTAGATCCATTAGACAATATGACATCAACACTCTACATCTGATAAAATAGTTTTGTTATCAATAATTAGTCACTGAGATATTTATTCTAGCTATAACTACATTCAACATAACATGCTCTTGAATGTTTTGTGTGAATGAATCATAATTTCAACCAACTATTGTGTCAAAATATTTTATTATTATTTGTGATTACTTGATGAATACCATGAATTATCTGGATTTTATTTCGTAGATCAATGTACCCAGTGTATATGTCATGAAAACTGGATTCGGAGGCTTCATAGTGTTACACAATCTCAGAATATTCTTAAAACTGACCGATTTAGAATGAGATTTCTAAATTTCTTGACAAAAATTAGTAACGAATTTTGATGAATCTTAGATGAATGATCTGAATACTGTCTGTAATACTGATAAACATGATCCAACGTTCTGTGTAGAATAAACGGATTGTGGTTAGTAGTAAAATGTAGGACATACGTGTTATCATATTAGAACCGCATCTTCTGAACCCCAGAACTCAACAATTCGGGTATCTAGCTTTAAATATTTCCATTGATATTTGAAAGTTAAACAAATATCGTTAATGGCAATGAATGATGTTTATGTAGCTTCTTAAATTGACTGAGTTTGAAAAGTTAATCAGTTACCTTTCAACTCAGTAATTCTCCTGTCAAATTCTTATCAATGAAACCTGAGGATTCTGTATATAATTCCTGACGAGGTTGTAAATGCCTATTTCTTACGAGTCGCATAGAGCCTCGAAACATCTCTCCAGAGCTTCTTGGCTTCCAGTGGTATTTAAACAATCCCCATTATTAAGAATGAAACAAATATATAGTTAAATATATATAATATGTAATTATATATATATATATATCGTTTAATTAATGATTAATGAATAAACTAATCTTCTAAGTCAGTCAGTCAGTAACAACGTTGAACTTCGTACGTACGTACATCAGTTCGAGTTGCCACACCACATTAGCACAGAGATGCAGTGGCCGATTCAAATCCCGTAGTGCTAGATGTAGTAAAATTATAAGCTGTAATCAATATGATAGTTCCATTCCATTACACTAAGCAGTAGACAGTAATTTATTGCACAATTATAGTAATACAGCTATAGCAGTATTAGTAATTTCTAGCTATCCCCTCTTTATGTAATTGATAACAGAAATGATAAATGTTTATGTAACTAAGATTTGTTTTTTTCTTCGTATGATCTCTAATTAATTTTTACATATATATATAACACATTCTTGCATTCTTTTATCACATGCTTATTGATTCTATCTTCCATGACTTTATATTTTACAGTACTAATTAAAGAGAATCTTTATCGTCAACAAGCACATGAACGTGTAAGTTCATTGAAATATGTTTTTTTGTCTATGTAATTACTTATTATGATCTGTTTATTTTATCAATAATCTTCATGTCTAGTTTAGATATTACTGGTTATTAAAATATACTTGAATTCATCAGTTGATCTAAATTAGACAATCAATAAAAACTTGGGAGTATTCAATGGCCATTTCGTCCTAGTATGGTTGGTAGATGTAGACTATCTGGTTGGGGACTGCGAGATGATATCAACAGATGGTTAGAGACCTTGAATGACATGACTGAAAATCGTTTGCGATGGCGCAAGTGCATCCACTCTTTGTGTTCTCCCAAATTCTAATCTCCTGAATCCTGCTAGTCTCTTTTTTTTTCTCTTTCTAAATTTATTTCACTGAGTTATACTCTTTAAATAACATCTTCAAGCCCTAATCTTTCGGATTACTGCTTATACTCTTACTAGTTATACCACTACGGAATTTGAATCGACAACTGCATCTCTGTGCTAATGTGGTGTGGCAACTAGAACTGATGTACGTATGTACAAAGTTCTACGTTATTACTGACTGACTGACCTAGTATGGAACTCTTCAACAGTACGCATCGACAATCCTTGGGTTCAAGTTCCGTACGCAATAATCTAGCTTACATTGACTCATGAATTCAACTATCAAAATTACTACGATCTACACAAATCTCCATTCTGATAATAAAATATGCATCTTAGTTAGATAACAATTTCAATGGTTAAGATCATGAGTCATTTGAAGCTAGACTACCATGGAAAACCTGGAACCACTGGATGGCCGTTTTATCCTATTATGGGACTCCTCAGCAGTACACATCGACGATCCTGCCTCGCGAGATTTGAACCCAGAACCTAACAGTCTCCTGCGCGAGCGCTTACCCACTGAGCCACCATCCAACGGTGTTAATGTCTAACTTCAATTAAACCACGAAATTGAGCGATAATGATAATGATTCAGAAATTTCATTAGAACCCTTGCAACTTGTGTTAGTTGTGGAGTAGACGATATGTTCATTTGCTAACAAGCGGTGTCAATGTACAGCTTAGCAGTCGTCTTTGTATTTCTCAGTGTTTACGAAATATGATCGATCAAAGTAGAATATATATGTAAGCATCAAGTTCCTGATCATAGATTTCTTCACGGTAGTGCATTGACATGGTGGAACAACCGGGTGAGTATCATGAAACCATACGAAGTTGGTTAATGGGATAGTGAATGCATATTGACTGAGATGGTTAGGACACGTATAACGTATACACAACCAAAACCTACTTTGGCGCCTTTTGTTAACTAGTGTAAAAGTACAATGTAAGAAAATTAGGAGCGGTTAAACCAAGGAGTTGTATCAATACATGAAGTTATTAACTGTTGGTAGATGTAGATTAACTGGTTGGCGTTGGAGTGGTAACCATAATCCATGGTTAGAGTAGTTGCGTGACGATACAGAGTTAGTCTCTCCATTACGAATGAATTCGCTCTATATATATCTTTCTCTATAAATTCAGTCCTAGTATTCTGTCATACATACTATTTCATCATATCTTCTTGAATCATATTCTAAATATTTAATCATTCTCATTATTATTGTAACGTTTATTTCTATAAATGCAAACTGTCACAAAAACATTAAGTGAGATAGTTATACAATAAACTTATTAACTGTTTCGTCATAATAGAAGGACTCTTAAACGATAAGCATATTGATGCAGTTTAAACTTCATTTATTGAATGCTAAGTTAGTAGTTTCAAAGGTTAAATGATGGAAGGAATTCCCCGAGTGAGTATCATCTAAACATTAAAACATTCTTCACAAAATTTCATTTAATCTATGAATATTCCTACTTGGTAAGTTTGACAGATAAATCGCCAAAATGCATATAGAAATCCGTCTGATCGAGTTATATTCATTAGCACTTAAGCTGTAGTTTTAAAAAAAAGAGGAGTTACACAAGTTGATGATCAACTGTTTGATAAAAAAAAGCCTAATTGTCTAACATGAATCAAATTGTTCAATCGGATACTGGATTGTTTGTTAATGATTACTTCTTTCCCTTCCTAAACACTGGGGGGGGATGGGGGAAGGTATTCATATTACAGAAGGCTAAAATACTTCACATGTAGACAATTTTCAATTACATTAAAGTGTAATATTGATTTTAACACTTTAGAAGAAGGCTGAAAAACAAAATGTTCCCGGTAGGTGTGTGCTTTATTTTCTCTTCATCTTAGCTATAATGTTTACATTACGTTTTGTAAACGCTTTATAGATCGTGTGTGCTCTGTTATCATCTTCACTTCTAATTATTTCCCATCTACTAAATGTATTTATTTATTCATTTATTTTGTGTGTGTGTGTGCATGTATGAAAGTGTTTCTTGTATTCTTCATTTTATACAGAACGAAAATGACATTTTCATAATAAGTTGGATTCATTATTTTCTATTTCAAAGCTTCTTATCGACTCCAAACAGACTAAAATTACAATTATCAGTATGGCTTAGTGGAGATTATTAAGTTTTTTTTAAATTATTGTAATCATGAATCAGTTGATGTTAGACTATCATTGAAAATCTGAAAGCACTGGACTACCATTTTGTCTTATTGTGGAATTTCTCAACAATGTGTATCCACCATCTCGCTCACGGTATTCCAACCTAGGGCCTTCGATCTCGAAAATCATACAAAACATAGTTAATTATGATGTCTACAAAGATGTTGAATATTATTAAAGAAGATTAAAGGAAATCAGTATAAGATTGTGGAGAGCGTTGAATTTTATTCAAATCACAAAACGATTAAATTTTGACAACCAATTAAAAATCTGGAAGCATTAAAATGCTGTTTTTTTTTGTTCTAGTATGGAACTTCACAACAATACTCACCCATGACATTAGAAAAATAATGGATTACATAGTTGTAATGAAACTGAGTGATTGCATAATTATTCAGTAGTTAGAATGATAGTAAAACTATTATGTGAATATCAACTACATAAGAGATAAGGAATGTTAAATGGTCATGGTCATTATGGTGATGAAAAGCTTATCACAATTACTTTCTATACATATGCATCAGGTTGAATGCGTTTGTTAACAATCAGAATTAGCAAACAGAGTAAAACTAATGTTCATTGTCTGTTAATGTATTCCATAAACTATATATATCCATTATTCATCAGAAGGGTCCATCAAATGTATGGCAATTGGAATGATGAAAAATTTACTTACAAAGATAAGTTCTTAAAAATTGATTCAGATCACTTGAGAGAGACCCTTTTCTTTGTCTTTCCAATATACTTAGTACATCAAATATATGTTAATTCATAGATACAACTGTAGGTAACAGCGGACGTGTATTGATCTACAATCGAATGTTATAACGAACATTCGACGTAATATATTGAAAGCAATAGAACCATAGAGCTATGTTTCATCTTATATTTTATATTCAATTCTTCGTATGTATGATGTTTGATTCCATTTTCAATATTTATCTATCCCACCTTCACTAACTAAAATAGGTTCAACTTCTATTTATAGCTAATATGAATACTCCTCCCTGTAGTTTTAGATGGCAAGACTATAATTTGTGGACGGATCAATCAGGTATAAGATAACAGATCTCGAATTTTGGCACGAAATTCATTCATACATTTGCCTAAATAGAGTTTTGGCATTATAGCAGATGTCAGTTCGTGATGAAAACCCTAAATCTATTTCCTAACGCCTAACCATAAATTGTAAATCATAATTCGAATTCCTCACATTGGTTTATAACCCTCATTTGATCCTAATTATTAGGTGGACACTCTCAAGGTTACTTTAGCGTCGCTCAACGTTCGTCCATAACTTATAGTTTACCACTGATAAGTAATCTTGAAATAGACAATAATGAAATCATTTTATTCTACAAATCTTGCTTCGTTTTTCCCTCAATTGTATGAAATATTGATTTGGTCCTGTTCACATCATTCATAACTAAATTGTTCACTTGAGTGTAGGATGTCTTGAATGATGGTACAGTTTTGTTGGAATATGCATAACTGTTTAGTTTATCTTCTATAATGACCTACATGAAATATAAGCTATCCATTACTTTTCTTGTTTTTTTCTTGTATTACAATAATATTATTAAAAGAATGGGTTTTGTGGAGAGTTTTAGAAATTTCATGGGTTGAAATCATTAGTCGATTGAAGCTAGACCACCATGGAAAACCTGGAATCACTGATTGAGGACGAAACGGCCGTCCAGTGCTTCCAGGTTTTCCATAGTGGTCTAGCTTCAATCGACTCATGATTTCAACCTGTGAAATTTCTAAAACTCTCCACAAAACCCATTCTGATAATAATCAACTGCTCACTAGTGACTGACTTCAGGAAAAACTCCTGGAGTTCTAGTGAGAAGCCGTTACCAGTAGAGTTCAACCAGGTTTGTTGTGAGATAACAACTCACTGAAGACAATGGTATACGGTGGTGCAACTTCGTGGATTGGTTGAAGTTAGGCAGTAACATCGTTGAATGCCGGCTCAGTGGTCTAGTGGTTAAGTGCTCGCGCGCGAAGCCAGTAGGTCCTGGGCTCGGATCCCGCGTGGTGCGGGATCATGGATGCGAACTGCCGAGGAGCCCCGTACTAGGACGAAACGTCCATCCAGTGCTTCCAGGTTTTCCATGGTGGTCTAGCTGCAATTGACTCATAATTTCAACTTGTGAAATATTATTATAACTTATGCTCTGTTACCCCTATCAATGTATAAAGTAATGATATCGTCAATTAGAGAACAGTGGTTTATCGATCGAACTAATGACGCATAAAACAAGTACGAGCAGTCTATAGTTTTTATCGGTCCTTCCTCCCCCACCCTAGCTCCACTTGTTAAGTACAGAACATCAACCTCAACCTCTGCGATATGAATCATGTATTTGAAACATACTGGGTTTATATACCAACCAGACAGACCACATCATACCATAAAATAGGAAACAACATTTGTATAAGATTTAACCAAAAGTAACTGTAATTGACAGATTGGGCATAACTCAAGAGAATGGTAAATCTTATAATAATAATAATTTATAGATCAAAATGAATCTTATATTAAGAGGAATATTAATAAACATAGTTTAGTTACTTAACAATGATACAATAAAAATATACGTATTATATTAGTCAAGAAATAGATCCCAACAGTTACCATCCATTATTCTCGTAGGGATATAACATATATTAATGTTTTAATATGTGAATAAGTCCAATAATAAATATAGAATAGAACTAAAACTGTTTACATAGTTGAATTCATGAGTCGATCTAAGCTGAACCACCTAAGATTTTGGTTTCAAATCACTTGTGAGGGATTATGGATGCACATTGCTGAGGAGTCCCATACTAGGATGAAACAGACATTTAATGCTTCCAAGTTTTCGTTGAGAGGATCTAGCTTAGATCGACTCGTAAACTGTGTAAATACTATAATCTCCACAAATCTCTATACTGGTAAAACTGTTAATTTTACTGTCAATAAATGTTGATCTATTTAAGAGGAAACCTTTTTTCTTGATGACTTCATTTTCAATACTAAACACTACTGATTTATATAATCAGATCAGTTGATAAATTCAAAGAGAACTCCATTACTTCTAATTAACTATGAACATGTTAAATTTACGATGATTAATATCATGTAAACGATTATTTAACATACTTTATTTAGTGAAATTGAGTTGAATAAATAATTCAAAATGAACTGAAGAATCATAATAACAAAAAAAATAGAATATTGAATGCATGAATGAACATAGTTATGATCAATATGTATTCATTATCAAATGGGTTTTGTGGATATCATAGTAATTTCAATGGTTAAGATCATGAGTCTGTTGAAGCTAGACCACCATGGAGAACCTGGAAGTACGTCCTGGGTTCGAATCTCGCAGGGGGCGAAATCGTGGATGCGCACTACTAAGGAGTCCCACAATAGGATGAAACGGCCACCCAGTGCTTCCAGGTTTTCCATAGTGGTCTAGCTTCAACTGACTCATGATCTTAACCAATATGTATTTATCTGTTGAGAAGTTGTACTACAGAGTAGGACCTATATCTGTAAGGAAGTGAAATATTTGCATGTAACATTGTCATACACCTGATGAATACTTACTTACTTACGCCTGTTTACTGTTGGGATATTCAGAAAATTATCCCAAAAATTATCTTGTTAAGTCTAATGCTATCCTTGGACTTGAAATAGCATCATTTTCTTATTGGTCAATTTTTATTTCACGTGTCGTTTCCCTCCTGGTCAATATTGTACAATGTTATTTTCTGTATTATGGTACGATGTGGTCTGCTTGATTGGTATATAAACAGAGTATGTTTGAAAACTAGTGATTCATATCTCAGAGGCTGAGACTTGCATTCTGAACTTAACTGACTGGGCTCAACAGGAAGTAGGGCCAATCAGAACTCTAGACTGCCCATACAGTTTTACGTGTCATTGATCCGATCGATAAGTCACTGCTCCATAATCAGCGGTCACACGTTATAACAGTTACCTCCAATGGAGCATAGGCTGTCGACCAGCATTCTCATGTCTGTCTCCATTTCTCGGCGTACTGTGTTCTTTTTTCTTCCTCTTCTTCTATGGTCTTGAGGATTACAGTCGAAAGCTTGCCTTGTGACGCAGTTAAGTGCTTTCTTGATTTTGCGTCGTAAGGTTGTCATACACCTGATGGATAGAGAATATACAATGAATATCAATGAAGTATCTAAGATAAACAATAGATAACCAACATCAATCTTAATTCACTTTTTAGAAACAGTTATTGACAAACGTTTTCAACTTGGTGTAATTTACTTTTCACTGACACCGTGATCATTATTATCAGTCAAATAACTCTTTTAGCTTGTTAACCTTATTCATCATAGATTTTTATCATTTATGAACTAATTGTCTTGATATATTTTAATTTGATTACGGTCCTAATCACTTATTGACTTAATACACATTTCTCCTAAGCAAAGATGGATAGCGGCTAGCAGTGGAATCTAGGTCGCACGTTTCGTCCTATTCGGGACTCGTCAGCTGGATGTACTTGCACCTCAGAGTTGATGTTCGCTATGGGACTCAAACCTAGTACCGTTCACTTCAAATGCCATCACGTTATCCACTTGGCTACTGTGTCATGAGAACCACTTGCTTGTGCAATGGAGGGAAGTTTAAATTCTCTTGGTAATATTTACTTGAATCTTCCAATCGATGATTAGGACTGCAACTGATCAGTCTCTTGAAGCGAAGCGTACTAGGTTCGAGTCTTAGAGTGGACATCAATTCTGAGATGCAGGTACATCCAGATGAAAGGTCTGAAATGGAACGAAATGCGCTTCCTGGATTCCACTGCTAGCCACTATCCATCTTTGCTTACTTTCTAAAATTCTTATAAATCCTAACCATATATTTATTTATACATTTTTATGGTCTATTATCATCATTTTAACATTTTCGCTCCGTTTCGAACAACCATCTATTTTAACTTTAACTAACTAAAGTATGTTAAACAAATGTTTACAATGATATTATCAATTTTAATCTCAGTCTGTTTCCAGTTATTAAAGAGTTATCAAGTAGAACAAATTCATTTTATTCTTTGAATGTTACTATGTTTACTTGAATAACATTAACTATTTTTATTAACAATTTCAACAGTTGAGATCATGAGTCAATTGAAGCTAGACCACCATGGAAAACCTGGAATCACTGAAAGGCCATTTTGACTAATGATCTCAACCGTTAAAATTACTACAATCTCCACAAAACCCCTTCTGATACTAATCAACATATGATCACTAGTGAATGGCTTCAAGAGGTATATCCTGGAGTTCTGGTGAGAATTAGTGACCAGCGGAGTTCAACCGGGTCAGTTGTTAGATAGTAACACATTGATGACTATGGTGAATGTGTCGCTCAATTTCATGGATTAGTTGAAGTTAGACATTAACACCGTTGCATACCGGCTCAGTGGTCTAGTTGGTTAAGCGCCTGGCACGAGACTGATAGGTCCTGGGTTTGAATCTCGTGGGGGGCGGGATCGTAGGTGAGCACTGCTTAGGAGTCCCATACTAAGACGAGACGGCCGTCCAGTGCTTATAGGTTTTCCATAGTGATCTAGCTTCAATTGACTCATGATTTCAACCAGTGTGATCTTAGTACTGTTTATCAAGTAATTAATAAACAGAATATCAACAGGCATTTATGTTACTAAAACATTTCAGCTATTCTTCCTCTCAACTTTATTTCATGCAGTCACAGTTGCCTTTGCTTAATGAATGAAATGAATTTTTCGCATATTGAAAAAATACAAAACTATATTTGTAAAACATTTTATTGATTTTTTTTAAAGAAAAAAATAATCAATATTTGGAAGATCTAGATCATATCAAGTGTATTGTTGAATAATTCACTTTCACTTACATTGTTTTGATTGTTTTACATTTTTCAAAAGATTTAGATAAAACTAGGCTACAACATTATTTTATAATGAATCTCTTTGATAGTTTTAATATTATTTCTTTTCATTTTCATAATGATCAGCTGATATCGGAATCATTTTAACCTGAAACAACATGGAACTATTATTATTGTTTTGATCAAAATTTGACACTTACCGTCTATACACCTTTTTTGAAAACTTAGAACTTTTAAGTTTAGATGTGTTCAACATGATAGTATGTAGTCAGGCTCCGAAATTCCTTGGTACGGCTGGGAGTGGAGAAAGTAAGATCTCTCTCTCTCTCGAAATGCTCTCACATAGCCACGTGTATACAACCATTGCCACAGAAGTCCTACTCATTGCCTTCTCTCATCGACGGTGTTGTTAACGAAATTGAGAAGACGAAATGCGAATGTGCGGCGCTTTAACCGGGTTGGTCGACATGGAGAGTTCACCTAGGGGAGTTAGAAAACCTTGATTACATACAATGCTGCACATGGATTCTAGGATCCTGAAGGAACAAATGGCGTATGAAGCAATCATTGGTCACCGGTTATTATGGGACTGCATCTCCTGACATTGCTCCACTGCCTTGTGGATCAGAACTTTGAGTCACAGACTCGGGGTGTGGCCCCATAAGGGAACCGCCTGCTTCGGTTTGGGCACCTGGGCAGTATTCTAGCCTTCACACAAATCGGATGATTTATGTGGCGCAAATCTATTTGGTGCCACTTTGTACCAATGTTTATATGTTTAAATAAATAAAATATAAATGGTATTTAGTAACTTACAGTAAAATATTGTGAATCTAATAAGAACTTTGAAGATTACATTTTTAAAGTATATCTTTCATGTATTTTAGTCTAATAGATGATTGCTTTCCTTGTACAATATGACCTCTTTATTTTGCTTAGTATTTCTAAGCATAAAAATTGTATAGTATAGGGAGTTATTGTTATGTTAGATATCTGCTGATGATTACCTCAGCTGCTTTAACGTAGTACATGCGATGTTTAGCCACCAAACTATTATTTTTATTATTATTTATTTAATCAAATAAACATTGGCAACGTAAAAAAAGATGCAGTTCTACGGTAGCCGGTGACCAACGATTGGTTCATACGTCATCTGTTCCTTCAGGATACTGAATTCCATGTGCACCATTGGTTTTGAATCACGGCTTTCCAACTCCCCTAGGTGGACTCTCCGTGTTCATTAACCCGGTTAAAGCGCCGGACATTCGCATTTCGTCTTCTCGATTTCGTAAACAACACCGTCAATGAGAGAAAGCAGTGAGTATACACGTGGCCATGTGAGAGCATTTTGAGAGAAAGATATTTGACTTTCTCCGTTCCCAGCCGTACTAAGGCATTTGGGGGCAGTAGTAGTTCTATACCAGGTTGAAGTAACTATCCATCGCTTCTTAGTTTCCAATCATTGTCTAATTAACATCAATCCTCCATATAACTTTCTTTTTAACTATTTCATCTGAAATCAAAATTCATGAAACGAATGAAGTTTGCCTTCAGACGAATCTTCATTAAGTTGTAAATGGAATTTTGCACTATATATGTTCGTATATTGTTTAATTTCTTATTTCATTTTCTTGCCTTACTTTCTTTACATCTAGATGAATAGACTTTTAACAAAAGAAATTAATAAAGATCTAAATGTCCAACATAATGAATTCAATGAAACATGAACAACTTTACTTTCTCATTTTTTTCAAAAAATTTTGTTCTTTTAAATATTAGAATGAATAATTTCCCAAGTGCTCAAAATTATGCAATACAATGATCAATATCGATATGTGGTTGTGTGTGTGTGTGTGTACGTGTGTATTATCTCTCTCTATATATGCATATATATGCATATCTATTAGAACAATTCTGTTGATGTATTTCTTTTTGTACTAACTCTCCCTCTCGTACCATCTCCATCATCACCCCTATCCCCATCATCATCATCATCTCCATCCCCATCAACATGTGAAATAAAATCATGAATACTTGGTAAAAAGAAAACAACAAAATCTCAGATATCGACTATCATTTACATTCATTCTTTATTGTCAATTTTTTTTATGAAGATGTTTTATTTTTTAAAGTGGAATCATTCAGTGATCTTTTGTTTTGTATCTATGTGTGTGTGTGTTTGTTTGTTTATGTGAATATATTCACATCTGTTTTTAAAAAAAAATTTTTTTCTTTTTGATAGTAACACTGATTACGTAATTTTCTACTACTACTACTACTATTATTCTTATTCTTATTAACCCGATCTCGTTTTGTTCTATTTTGTGACTGTATTATTATTATTTTTTGTTTCTCATACTGAATTAGATTAGATTTGTCTTTTTGTTTTTCTATTACATAACATGAATCTGACAAAGAGAAAATAAACAAGAAAGAGTAAACAAAAGAAAATGGTAGAGAGAAAAATGACTACCTTCATTGTGTTGTTTTTTTTATTTTCGGTTCATATTTCTAAAATGTTCACTTGTTTGTATGTTTCACTCTTTTCTTCTTCTTTTTCTTTTTTTTTCTTTTTCACAGTGGCTTATTTTCTCTCACACAGAGTTTGTTGTTACGTTTTCTTTCTGTTTTTTTCTTTTTCATAGTGGCTTATCTTCTCTCACATAGATTGTCATTTCGTTTTCTTTCTGCTTTTTCTCTCTTTTTTTCTTTTTCACAGTGGCTTATCTTCTCTCACATAGATTGTTCTTCCGTTTTTTTTCTTTGATATGTTTTACCTTTACACTATAATTGTTATAATCATTATAAATTCTCTTTATAAAATATGGAATTAGATCATGTTGACAAGCAGGTAAGCAAATGTTTGTTTTGTTTTTTTATACAAATAAATGAGTTTTGTTTGTTGTCTGTTGGTTACTGTTTAAAAGCTGATCTTTTCACTGTGTGTATATCAGTAGATGATAGTTTATACCTTTTAAACAATCGTAATAATGTTAAGTATGTAATAATGTGTGAATATTATTGATGATATTGTGTCTATTGTAACAAGAGATACTAGACTTTAACTCAGGTTAGGATCTGAAAAGTTGGAAAAATGAACATTTCGCAAATACAATCAAAATGATCTTGATTGTCTAGTCATAGTATTCTGACATTAGACAATGAGTTTTAAGCGTTCTTTAAACCCTGAGCTGAGCTATTTCATTTACTAACTTACATATGTGTTGTATGCAGTATAAGCTATATTGCTATATAGAGCCGAAGATATTGTGGATGGTTTAGCATTAATTTGGCAAGTTTTGCTGACTGTTCATGTACAAAATTCGTTTGCTGATCAACTGATTTCATTTGTATCGGTGGTTGTTTTTCAGTGTTCTCAAGGGTCATTGTCATTGGGTGGGACATTGTAAGACATGTCGCCATTTCTAACATTAATGAGTTTGACTGTCGTGTAAGCGGAATAGGTCAACTTTGACCTGTTCGTGCAGTGAATAACTGATTCACGCGATCATTGATCGGAATAACTATACATGTGATGTGAATGTGTAAACGAAGGGTGCGAATAGTCCACCAGGGTGTTTAGTACCTTTGTGGTTGCGCCACACGTTTGACCTGTACTATCCAGATTGTAGCGACAAAGGACTATACGGTGTTTGGTTCCTCTGTGAAACAGGATTGAGCCGCTTGAGTTATAAAATTTAAGCCTAGATGGTGTCTGGCTCTCCTGTTAAACGAGATTGAGCTGTACTGTTTGTGTTGTCACGTGAAAGTCAGTGGTGTCTGGTTCTCCTGAAAACTGATGTAAAATTACCCTGACCCACAAGGGTATATTATAGAACTTATATTATTTAACTATCTAACAAGCTACATTATTAATTAAAAGTTTTAGTTAATTATAATGGTGGATGGTAGCTTAATTTCGTGGGTTGGTTGAAGTTAAATATAAACATCGTTGAATGCCGGCCGGCTCAGTGGTCCAGAGGTTAAGCGTTCACGCACTAAACCGATAGGTCCTGGGCTCGAATATGGCGGGGCGGGGTCGTGGGTGTGCATTGTTGAGGAGTTCCACAGTAGGACGAAACGGTGGTCCAGTACTCCCAGGTTCTACAAGGTGGTCTACCTTCAATTGACCCATGAACTCAACTATTAGATTACTATAATATCCACAAAATCCCTTTCTGATAATTAATTATTCATCTATAAATTACGCTTATTCTCATAATCCTATTCAAGTGTTTAATGAGTTATAGAAGGCATTTATAATCATAAGTTTTTATAAAACATTTCTAATCATTTCACCGTGCGATTTACTAGTTGGACTCGTAGCAGTGTTTTTATGTGGCTTTTCTACGTTCAGTAGGACGTTGATAAATACTTCAACTAGAGCATTGTCCGAGTCAAAACATGTGCTACAGGATGAATGACAATTTTCAATCGAGCCCCTCCAACGATGGCTAACGGTAATATGGTCTATTTGAATCTATTGATTATTCGATTGTGGAGGTTGCCACGTTAGATAGTGTTTCTCCTCATGATTAAAGTTAGTGTTTGCGAGAAATAAATGGTTATCTGAGCATAGTTGTGTTATATTTAGAGCTTATATTCCTGATATACCGCGTATAACTTGAGCACTAGAACGCTAGAAGCCTTCCAATCGCAACGAGAAGACAGAAAACTAGTGAAAGGAATGTTATTCCAGAGGGTATCGACGACAACTCTAGTCAAAAATACACTCGCATATATATAGATTGTACACACACTTTGATTAATAATTAGGATGAAATCACATATATAAAAAATACTCAGTTATTACGAATCATATGCTGAGCATAGTTCATGTCAACTTAATACAACAATATCGTATGTTATACAGAATAAAAGATCACATTGAATAACAAAACAAATACTACATTCAGTAATTATGACATTGGATTAGAAAACGGAGGTAATGTAGAATAAACTTCATAATTATTAAGTCAATCGAATCTTGACTTTTCTTTCCATCATATCAAGTTGTAACAGACGGTCGCTATTATCTGTTTGCAACACCGTAAGATCCGCCCAAAGTCAATTCGGTTTGGTTTAGTTTACCTACTTAAACATTAAAATCACATGCCACTATTACTACATCAGAGAGTTTAACATTTTGAAGGAGGTTGGGTGGCTCTCTATAAAATCCATCTTTAGCTTAGTCCGAGCTGCAATCAATGGGAGTGTAGGTCGAAACAACGGAAAGGCAAGGTCGTGTGTCCCTAACTTTTCTAGTTCATATTGTCCCGTTTAGTTGAACAGCTCATATGTGAATGTATATAGGCATCCAATCGAAAAAGGATTGTTATATCTTAAACATTAGTGCTATATCAACAGTAGCGCGGCTGAGTTAATTAGCTGTGGGGGTCTCCAGATATATGAAGGGTAAATCTTGGCAGTTATTTATATTAAAAAAATGAGGTCAAATGAATGACTATACTTGAAATCTGTATGCACGTTTCGGACATGCAGTATTCATCATTGGCGTAAGACTTTAGAGTCCTAATTAAAGAAACCTGTTTTCCTAACCGACTCGAGGTTCGAACATTAAAAGCTCCAAAATGTACTCAAGAGTCTGGTTTTAGGAGGCTAGGACCTAAAAAGAAAGCTAACTTAGTGGTGGTCTAAGCGACCTGTGAGTATGACTACAAAGCTCAATGCACAACTAATAGAGGCTGGTCACGCACAATCTTTGTGGAGAAAGAAATCTGTGGGTAATGTGTGGTCCGACATTTTCACAGTCAACCTTTTCTAATCCCTTCCATCACCATTGTAGATACTGGTTGTCCGATGGATCACTCAACTACTGTCTCACCTCTCGACATCCGGCGGCACGACTTCGCCCTCAGGCCTCAAGTTGCTGCTTTTGATCTCACTGTTCTCCAACCAACCTGCTTGGCATGGTATGATCTAAAAGATTATATGTTCCAGCAAATTTTGCTCGAATTAATCACCGAAACAGGCAAACATGAATACCACGTCTAGGTAGCAGATGCAGTCATGTTATTTGCTTTTGTTCATGACTAGTAGTGTCGCTGTTTCATCGCAAATCATTCAAAGGATTTACTTTAGTGAATCAGTTTTGTAACAAGTCGTCACTTCACCACACTCCTTAACACCAATTAATTTATCCATATTCGTTTTTTTTCATTTGGAAAGTCGGAAACTAGTTTATGAAATTATAAAAGACTACTTCTCAGCATACATATAATTATTATTAATACATACAACTTCCTGATTCAGGTCACTTTGTTTTCAGTGAACATACAGTATAGAATACTAGTTAATTAATACTTAGTTGCATTTGTACCCTGTCAATTTAAATAGAATGAAAACATGAATAACAATGAGAGTTTCTAACATTGATCCATTCATGATATCAATCTAAACTAAACAATCTCCACAACTTACTTCCTTACTTCCTTACGCCTGTTACTCCTCGTGAAGGAGCATAGGCCGCTCACCAGCATTCTCCATCCAACCCTGTCCTGGGCAATCCTTTCCAGCTCCGTCCAGTTGTAATTCATCGTTTTCATATCTGCTTCTATTATCCGACGCAATGTGTTCTTTGGCCTTCCTCTTTTTCGCTTCCCCTCAGGATTCCAAGTTAGGGCTTGCCTCGTGATGCAGTTTGACGATTTGCGTAATATATGTCCTATCCGTTTCCATCGTCTTTTCCTAATTTCTTCTTCAGCTGGAAGTTGGTTTGTTCTCTCCCACAGAAGGCTATTGCTGATGGTATCCGGCCAATGGATGTTGAGTATCATGCGTGGACAGCTATTTATAAATACTTGTACTTTTTTGATTGTGGTTGTTGTAGTTCTCCAAGTTTAAGCTCCATACAGTAGAATTGCCTTGACGTTCGTATTGAAGATTCTCACTTTGATATTGGTTGAAAGTTGTTTTGAGTTCCATATGTTCTTCAATTGTAGGAATGCGACCCTTGCTTTGCCGATCCTCACCTTTACATCTGCATCTGAACCTCCTTGTTCATCGATGATGCTTCCTAGGTACGTGAAGGACTCTACATCTTCCAGAGTTTCGCCATCAAGAGTGATTGGATTGCTGTTTTCCGCTTTGAATTTGAGGACCTTGGTTTTCCCTTTGTGTTTACTGAGGCCTACTGATACAGAGATTGCTGCTACACTGGCTGTCTTCATCTGCATCTGTTCGTGTGTACGTGATAGGAGGGCTAGGTCATCTGCGAAGTCCAAATCGTCTAATTGATTCTGAGCTGTCCATTGTATGCTGTGTTTTCCTTCAGATGTCGAGGTCTTCATAATCCAGTCGACCACCAGAAGAAAAAGCAAGGGAGAGAGTAAACAGCCTTGTCTGACTCCAGTCCTTACTTGGGATGCATCTATCAGCTGTCCTCCATGCACTACTTTGCACTGTAGTCCGCCGTATGAGTTCCGGATAATATTGACAATCTTCTCAGGAACTCCGTAGTGTCGATGAAGTTTCCATAATGTCCTCCTATCTACACTGTCGAATGCCTTTTCATAATCAATGAAGTTGATGTATAATGATGAGTTCCACTCAACTGATTGTTCGACGATTATCCGTAGTGTTGCAATTTGGTCTGTGCACGACCGATCCTTACGGAATCCAGCTTGTTGATCTCGAAGTTGGGCGTCTACTGCATCCTTCATCCGGTTCAGCAACACTCTGTTGAAGACGTTCCCTGGTATTGACAGTAGTGTAATGCCTCTGTAGTTTTCACATTTGCTCAGATCTCCTTTCTTTGGAATCTTGATGAGGTGTCCTTCTTTCCAGTCCATCGGCACTTGTTCCTCCTCCCAAATCTTTTTGAATAGAAGATAAAGCATGCTTGTGGTTGCTTTGGTGTCTGATTTCAGTGCTTCTGCTGGTATGTTGTCGGGTCTTGCTGCTTTTTCGTTCTTGATTTGTCTGACGGCCATTCTAATTTCTTCCGTCGTTGGTAGGTTGACATGTATAGGAAGATCTATGTGTGCTGCTTCGATGTCCGGTGGATTCATTGGA